GCGGATCTTTCACCACGCAGACCCCAAGAAAAAGAGATTCTCTTTAATTGTATTTTCACAATTTTCGTTTTAATATCTAAAAAATTATATATTTAAATTAGTCATTAATCAAGTGTTGGCAGAGAAATTAACCGCATCAGTTTTTTTTTATCCTCAATTGATTACGTTTATTGGATTTTGACGGAATTGGGTTTGAAGAGGGGGACGTTCAGGGCATATGGTAAGGGAGGAGATAGTCATTATCAGTGGACGCCTACTTCACTTATCTAATGGGATCAAATGCTTTCTTGGCCGTAACGTAAACAAAAACGAGAGCTTTTAAATCCCCATCTGCGATCCCTTCCCTCAGTCTTTTAACACATTCCCAGGACACCTATCTTTTAATTTCCATTCATATCTTATGATTTCGTAAAATGTTGAAAACCGACAGAGTCGAGGAGAAAGATGTCGGTTTTTCCCCACTCAGACAACCTCGAGATTGTTTGACGGAGTGGTCAGTAATGGTACAAAATATAAAGCAGCAATATCTGTGAAAGGCTTAACTCACTCAAGAGATGGGCTTAATTAAACAAAAATATATTTTTTACTTGGTAGTTATTAAAAAAAAACAACTAAACCAATGGAAGTGCCAAACATTTTTAACTAGTTAGTACCGCTATGGCTACAACCAACCCTATTTCGTATAATTTATAGTGCTAATTATTTTTCTTCAATAAACGTTATGTGTTCCATTGTGTGGGCTTAAATTGTATGGTCGGGTTGTAGCACTTCTTGGACTAATGTACAATATGGAGTCCCATATACTTTGTTGTATTGAGTTAGTCAAATGTTTTACGTTGTCGTCGAAGGGAATTATTTAGAATTGGTTTTTGTTCGATGTCTCAAAATAAGTGCCAGTTTATCGGTCCGTTGATCAGGGAAAGTCGAGGTGCATTTAGTTTTAGTTGGGTGAATGTGGTGTGAATGAGGGCAAGAGGGCTATCTATGGTCGGAGGAGAAGTCGTCTAGGGTGTAGGTGTCCTAGTGTAGGATGAGATGTTGGAGCAAACAAAGCAATCAAGGAGGTCTTTATCTTGAGGAGGTTGGCCGGTAGATAGGTTGGGAAGGTGCTAGGAAGGAACAATTGGTTAGAGAAATGACATTGTGAAGAAGTCGGCCTCTCGGGTTTGCAACACGGCTGCCCCAGCTTGGATGTTTAGCGTCAAAATCGCCACCGCAGATGAAACGACTTCCGAGGATTGAAAAGAGGGACATAAAGTGGTTTTCTTGAACGGTCTAGTTGGGTGGGCTGTAAATTGTTGCGATGGTGTATGAAAATGGCTTCGTCAGTAGAGTAATCGCGGTAACCTGGACGAAGAGTGTTGCGTTGAGTGGTATTAAAAAATGGGAAAAGGAATTGCAAACCAGTACAGCAGTTCCCCCATGTGCAGTCCTATGGTTATGTGGGTCAGACACGTATGTTATGTAGTTTGAGATGAAAAATTTCTACATGTCGGTGAAGTGAGTTTCTGAAATCAATACGACGTCAAATCGTTTTTCGTGTAGAAGTATCTCAGGCTCCTGTCTTCTTTCAGTCAGTCCGTTCGCGTTCCAGAGGAGGATGATAAGTGAGTGCTGGGTTGGGACCATTAAGAGGAAGGTTTATGAAAGAGGCTGTTCACAACTGTGGTTAAGAGAGCTAGAAGAGTGTGACTAGGGATTTGAATCGTTGAGGAACGAACTTAACAGATTGGTGACATCTCCTGTGGGAGATGTGCATGGCTGAGGTTGGACGAGGGGCGTGGAGAGAGAGCGGGAAGTATGAGAAACTAAAGATAGCTGGGTACCGCGACCGCCCGAGCAAAAGAAATATTTTTGCTGAGATGAGATGGTTTGATGACGGGCCTAGAAGGAAGGATGTTTGGTGGTCGACTAGTTGGCTGTGAAGTTTTCTGCTGGGCTAGTTGATGCTCGTAGACGGGTGGTGAGTTCCGTAGACCCTGGAGTTCTTTATGGACAATACAACCTTGTAGTTGGCTGGATGATGTCCGTTACATAATGCAAAGGTGGCAGGCGTGTCAAGCTTTTCAGTACAGTTTTGAGTCATCTGTTCTCCAACACATTTCACGCATTTGGTTTGTGCTGACAGTAGGATTTGGTGTGCGTGTATATTTGGCAGCGTTTGCATTGAACAACGTTGCTTGTGGGATTCTTCAAGTTTTATTCTTTAGTACAAAACTGTATTAATGTTGAAAACGTCTTTGTTTTTCATACTGGGGTCTCGGTCCATAAGAAGTAGAGGCAGAGTTGTTTAGTGGCTGGGTGGTGTAACATTCCTTATGGCCAAGTTCGGTTAGTTTCCATTTTATCAATTCAGGCGGGACACTGGTGCAGATTCCGGATTACCACTGTGTAAGCTCTTTCTTCTTCTAACTGGAACGTGATAATCTGCGTTACGTTGCTTGATTTACTTAATTATGCCTATGTAGCTTTCAACTGTTTTGCCGTTGATGATGAGATAGGTGATCCGCGCTTTTGTTGTGAATTTTAGAAATATTTCGTTTTAAATTATATTACATGAGCTTGATCTTATTTGTTTTGTTTATACTAAGCCATCAAGACAGATGAGAATTGAAGGTGAGGTGTCTTACCGTCCAAAGAATCCCACCTTACGGCGAGACCAGGGCTTCCCAAACATTTTAGTCAGCGTACCCCTTTCAAAAAACAAAATCAAAGGCCGACTCCTCTCATTCAAGTATTTAAAATTAGATTCTTAATGTATGTAGTAAATCAAAGTTTTATAAATTCTCCAGTCCATTCCTAAGTGAGTGATGGAGAAGGATATTATTATGAAAACAAACATTAGATTGACATGCTAAACTTTATTTACTTTAATCCGGAACACAAACATCAAATTGGACAGACCCGAATCATACGGAAATAGGGTAGGTAAAAATCGAGCCAAATTCAAGTCATATTTTGAACATTAATGATTAATGAATTTATGGGACAAATGAGGTAGTTTTAGTTTGCACAATTTGGGTTTAATTTTCGATAAGTGGAGATGTCGGGTTCACCATCTCCATAAGTAAGTTGTCGTTAATGAAAAAAGAACACGTTTTCATTTTTCAACGAGCGGTTAAAATTTTTTGTTTTCCAGATGGAGCCAAAAATGGGGGGTAAGTATCGGACTCTAGATTTCAACGTGGAATCTGAAATAATGTTGAGCAATCTCTAATCTGTTCGATTTCGTATCTATCATCCAAGACGAAGAGTAGAGATATCATTAGCGTAAAGAGCCACTTTTACGTTCTTAGTGCGAGTTATTTTGTAGAAATGTAGAAAAAAACATTATGGGTCCAGGAATAGAGCCTTGAGAAACACTAGCAATAATAAAGGAGGGAAAATTCCAAAGGTTGTAGGTTGAGATGGGGAGTTGGTGTCCGAGTGGATCGAAGTCACGATAGCTCAAGTTGTAGGGCAGCTGCGTATTGAGCCGAAGATCGTGGGTTCGAATCCCGCTCGCGACACAAACTTTTTTATTTCAACCAAAACCTTACATAAAAAGATTAATTAATTGAAACTAGCAATAATGTTTCTCGGTTGGGAAATAAATGATCGAAAGGAAACTCGGAATTGTCAACATATTAAGAGTGGACTAATTTTATTATGTAGGGAAGGAAGCTATTATTCCATCATCCTGCTGACTATACCGTTATGCCAAACAGTGTGCCTTTTGGATACCTATCAAAAGCATGCCAGTATGCTTTCTTACATTGAAGGCTAGCATTATGTCATCTACTATCCTGGGTAATTGAGCAGTGTGGGGTGAGCAAGCCGGGAACACACTTACCCGACGCCTTGCCACGTTTTGGTGGGGTATGCAGATCTATCCGACGCAAGCACACATCGCGTCCAGTCCACAGCGTTCATCACAATAATCACTATCACAATCGCAACGCATCTTTTGTTCTTAATGCACTATTTTGAGCAAAACCTTGTAATAAATTGTTTGTTAAACTTAATTGTTTTAAATAAAGTTACTCCTAACCATCATAATAAAACAATAAGTTATAACAAATAAGTTTATAAAAACTTATGAATTTTTGATCTCGTTTAATTTGGTTTAAATTAAAATAACATGTTGTAATTAATATAACGACAAAATTACATGTACTTAGTTTGAAATAAACTACAAAAAATATGAGTGTCCTGTTCTGATGCTACCCGACGAAAATGGTGTAATTTAACGAGCAAAACTATGATATAAATTGTTAATTAAATTTTATGAGCAAAACCGTGTAATAATGTGTAGAGATTAGTGACCGTTAATCGATAGTTATTCAGATATCGTGAGACCGCATCTCACGATATCTGAATAACTACCGTGTAATAAATTGTTCCAATTTTAGTATATGTACCGCCGAAGGTAGTACAATAAATTGTTAGTTAAATTCATTATATCAAAAAATCGTATTCCGGTGTTTTGATTAATTTTCTACCAAACCATTAAAATTAATTTTTTAAATACAAACTAATTAATTTTTAATCACAGTTAATTTGGTTTATATTAAAATAAGTATGTTGTAAAATTAATATAACGACAATAATACATGTAGTTCGAATAAAAATATGAGTGTCCGATTCTTTTGTCTTCGACTGTACTCCATGCTACTCGACGAAAATCTGGGCAGTGGGGATCGCAGAGCGTCGGGTAGGTTAGCGTGGCATAGCATCGGGTAGATGTGCAGGGGGGTACAACCTTATGGAAAATCGGAGTTTGGATTTTCGTCGGGTAGCATCGGGTAGCGTCGCATGGCGTAGCATCGGGTAAGTGTGTCTCCGGCTTAAGCATTGTTCAGTTAAGCTGGCAAAAAGCTCATTCGATTTATTGAAGTGTCGTGAAAAGAATGAACCCCGTTGAAAGCATGAGTTATTTGTTCAACATTTCAAAATAACCTTGTTTTTTCTTTATTTGCTAAATGTACGTATTACTTTTTTAAAGAAATAAATTGTTTTTTCTCTAACGACGAGTTTTATTATTGACTTGAAGTGCCGAATAAATCAGCAAATTGATGTTAATAAAATAAATTTACTTGAAATGATGGAATTCAGCCGGTTGGTTCAAATCGTGTAACTATATTAATCGTGTTTCAAGAAAATTTAGGACAAATTACGGATAGATTCAGGGTTCAGGGCAAGATGGGCGGGTGGTCGTCGTCGTCGTCGTCGGTCCCGAGTTCCGACTCTATTTCTCTAATTCTCCTTTCTTCGTAGATTTTAAGGAGGTCTTCGTTAATAATTTTCGATAGCAGTTTGTCAGCGGCGTTAATAAGTTGTTTTTCTTGTTTGTCAGGCTTTGATCTCTGTTTGGAAGTTAAAGAGGGTCGACTTGGAAATACGAAAGGCTTCCGGGCGTCATTTTTTTCGACTTTTAACACAGGTTTTGCACGTGGCTTCTGTGCTGCGGTCGATTGTAAAATGGCCATGAGTTTTTCCCATTCGTCTCTTTCCGGTCTTAAAGTCGTCTTGACGGTGGTTGTAGGCTCACTCGGTTCGATGGTTTCTTCGACTGTGCTTATCACTTCCTCTTCGCTCGTGTCCGTAATCGCGTCTTTCTGAATGCTCGTGCTGAGGACTTGATTGTGTTTCTTGTACATGGCCTTGAGCCGAATCCCTGAGTCTACTTTGCAGCGAATGATTTTCTTCGACTTCTTTAAATAACTGGTTCTGTTCTGTTCCGCCTGGTAGGAGAGATCGTCGAAGAAGTCCGATTCCGTTTCGGTACCGTCTTCCACGGAATCATCGCTGTTGTGGCTGGTGAGATCCAGTCCGAAACCGTAAAATGCTTTGCTCAGTTCGATGTTTTCATGCGACGGTATAGTGTTCACAGTCGCTAGGCTTTTTCGAGAGTAGACGTCTACTTTGCTTCTATGCCTCGACGACCTCGCATCGGCCGTGGAACATTTCCGTTTAATACATCGCGGCTTCGGACTCGGCGGGCCCATCGGAAGCTTTTTGTGGAATGTCGGATCGCCCTCTCTTAAGAAAAACGTAAATATTTTAGGGGCGACGATCGGTTCTCCCGGTTCTACGGTTTGCGAGGCTGAATTTCTCAATATTACGTTAGGTCTATTGGGATTGACCAGTGTGTATTCTTTCTCGGATTCTGCGGGAGACTCAACTAGAGGGGATGTCGCATGGTCGACGAATTCTACCGTTCTCTCCGAATACGCTGTGTAGGCGCTTGGCGGGTACGGCAGGACGAGAGGTTCGCGTTCTGGCAGAAAAGGCTTTATGTTTGACTTCCCCTTCATGTAAGCTACAGTTTGGACTAGACATTTCACCAAATCGGCCAATTCTTGGTTGTGAGCCTCTTGCCAAGTCTTCTTGCTTCGCTTAAGGCCCGAATTGCCTACTTCCGATGTTCTACTACTTTCGTAGGCGTAAGTCGGATATTTGGCATAAGTCGCCACTTCTTGCCTCGACCCGGTGAAAGGCGGTTTTAAATCCATGTTAGGGATGGAACTGGAGGGCACTTCGAAATAATGTATGGATAGGTTTTCGGTATCTTGATTAAAATGCACGTCAGGCCCTGATATCTCGCTATGATCCCAGTCGTTATACTGGAATTCGGACGTGTTGGAGCTGTCGGTATAATGATACGACGAAGGGACATCTTTAAGACCTCGTTTTAGCTCCAAGGAACCTTTTCGTAATTTATTTTCATCATTATAAAGGAACGATTCTATCGAGGGATATTCTCGAAATTCGAAAGGACGAAACGACGAAAACACTCCATACTTTTTGTCCGTCGATTTCTGTTCGGTACTCGTACTTAACTTGCACGAAGATTCTTGATCCTCTGAAAGTGCTTCCTCCTTCAACAGTTTTGATAAGAGCTCACACGTGTTTATAATAAGATATTCATATTTTTCTGCCAACTTATTATTTTCCTCCTGACTACTCATCACCATTGTTTTATCTGCAAAAATAAATAGGAAATTTAATTTAGCGTTTATATTTAATTCATTACCCTACCTAATAAGTCTAAATAAATAATGCAAATAAGGCTGTGCTCAAATTGGTGCAACTCCTTGGTTTTATGTAGAGGGCGTGTAAGACTGCCACCAAATATGAGCAACGTGCTTGAGCTTCCTCCTCTGTTCTGATGGTTAGAGGAAACAGAGTTGTTTGATTGTAGTGTGTGCGCGTGCGTGCGTGCGTGTGCGTGTGTGTGTGTGTGTGTGTGTGTGTGTGTGTGCGTGTGTGTGTGTGTGTGTGTGCGCGCGCGCATGTACATATACTTTACCGCTAACTCTGTAGGGGTTAGTTTAAGAAAAGCACAACTAATCGGGTACAACATTCAAGTCCCTTTATTTAATTATGGTTTAAATATTCCTCGTCGTCTCCTGCTGACCACTGACCGACTCTTGGCCTACTCCTCGCGACTTCTCGTCGATTCCTATTGACTTCTGCCCAACTCCTGGCCAACTCCTACAGTCCACGACAGCTCTACTCCCAAGGACTACGCCGACAGCCTCTTCTCCACGCCGGCCTTCGCGCGAGCCATTCACCACAAGGAGACAATGTATTTAAGAATGAGTGAGAGGGTGAATGGGTTTGGATCTAGGAACTGCATGTGTTGGGTGCAGAATTGACATAGCCGTTGACGAAATGCGGAGCCCAACCTCGACGGCTGGACGGATAAGACCGTGGTCTGATTCCAGGACTGCCATCTCCTGAGGTGGGTGATTCTCAAGACCTTCCAGTAATTTATCGTACCCAACAAAAGCTGGAATTGCAAGTAGACTGCCAGAAATGCAGGCTCATAGGCTGTTATCAAATTATGAAGCTCATACACTCAGTAAAAAGTCTCTGAACACCTACTGGCTTATTTATTTTAATTATTGTTATAGTGTAAATGCCGAGAAACACTCAACCTAAGCCTCATGTGAGGTTAAGGCAAAAAGCGTATGGAATTGTATGGAATTCCTGGCAAAAGTCAATGGCACCAATGACTTGATCCTGGCATGGGTCCCTGGGCTTATGGGGCATAGAAACCAGGAGAAAGTGGACAAGGCCAAAATAGGAGCCAATATAAATTCTCTAGTCCATGAACCCTATTGTGGCCTAGCACCTTGATACATCCAAGAGTGGATCCTTAATGAGTCAAAAACTTGGTGGACCACACCCCAGGCATGAGGTACGCAAAGAAATTCATAGATGAGCCATCTGCAAGACTGACAAAGGAATTACTGGAAAGTAACCACAACAGAATCAGGATACTGGTATGATTCCTGACAGGGCAAGACGCCTAATAAGGCACCGAATAGAAGTACTGGCAGAAGAAACATAGTGCAGATACTGCCAGGAAGAAGAGAAAACCGCAGAACACATGCTATGTTTTTGGGAGGGTCTATGTAGGTGTAGATATTTGCAACTAGGAGAGGAAAAGACGCAAAATCCTACATTAATGAGTCACTGGTAAGGCTATGGCTGAAGCTGGCCAGTGAGTTATAAAAATAAAGGAACACAATAATCTACTCAGGACGAGGTGCAGAACGCCTAGTAGATGCCTCTTTTATCCCTACCTGTAGTATAATCTACATATCCCAACAAATAACATCCTTATAGATAAATAGCAATGTACAATTAATGTAATATTAATCACTAGGTATGGTAACAAAAAACTAAATGCATTTAAAAAAATAAGGGAATTTTTTTTTATTGAAGATGCCTATCAAGATTCGATTTGAAAGGCATAAGTGATCTTAAGTCTATGACATTTGAAGGCAGATTATTCCAATTTTCTAAGTTGCAGTTCAAGAAGAATGTTGATCCAATTAATTTCAGGTAGTGCTGTTTTTGAATTGTCATGCTATGGCCACAAGTTTTTGAGCATGTATATATCTCGAGTTGTAAAATTAAGAATTTAAGTCAGTCGACGTAGCTGTACAGCTTTAATTTCTTTGCATTTTTTCTACAAGTTTAATGTCTTTTTGAAAGTAGGGCCTCCAAATACTACATGCAACCTCTAGTTTAACTTGGTATGCAAGAAAGCTTCCTTTTTTGACAATGTTCAGGATAAGTTTATTCCACTTTAAGTTTTCTGATATTGTTATCCCCAAGTCATTTTGAAATTAAGTAGAGAACAAAGAACCACCGTCAGCGCCCAGATGGAGAACACATGGAAATTCCTTGGTCCAGTTGGGAACTAATTGTAAGATTGTCTAATGAAGGGAAATCATTTCATGGAAAAGTTAATGCACTTAATAAGCGACCCTCGACAATTCATTACATCATCTCCCACTAAAGTAGCTCGGTAATGCTGAAAACAGTGTTCATATAGGCCGGAGAGAAAAATTAAACACTACCTAAGTCATTCTCAAAGAAGTGATCTCCTACCCATCAACAAGTGAGCCGAAAATTGCAGATATTCTGTATCAGTATTATAACATTTCAGTTATGCCCCAAACAGTATGAAAAAGTATTAAAAAAACAAGGCACGCACGGATGCAATCCCAGAATGAAGCCCTATATAATAAGCAAGAAAAACAGGGGAAAGCACGTCCAGTTTGCTAAAGAACAAAGTAAGCCTGATGCATTTTGGGAGATTGTTATTTTCACCGATGATAACAAATTTAATGTCTCAGGGTCTGGTGAAAGAAAGTGAGGCATAAGCCAGGGGAACAATTGTGTTTGTTGGGACTGCATGGGCTATAGAGGAGTTGGCAATTTATACACCGAAAAATCCGATGGGATCATGGACCAGTATTCTACATCTATGTTCTAATTTAACGGGAATTGGGTATAGAAAGGACTTTCTGTTTCCAGTAAAACAATGACCCCCAATCGCCTGATTTCAACCCAAATAGTAGGAATGGATATTCAGATTACTGAGATATCATTTTAATCAGTGTCAGTAAATAAAAAAATGAAAAATGTTGTGTTTAGAGAGTTTTGTTTGTTTTTTGCTTGAAGTGTATAACGTTTCTGTTTAATTTTTACGTATTGAATACTATTACATGTTATATGGTTTTTGTTATTGAAAGTTTGTAGTCGCAAGACATTGTGTTGTTAATCAATTTAGTCTACCGTTATAGGCTAATATCATCACTTTTACAAAATAAATTACAATACTTACAACAAATCAGTATGAAACTCAATCAAATCAAAATATTAAAAACTAATTAACTGTAATGTAGTTAACTAAAATATCCATATTACGTTAGGACGTCATGTTGAAGAATTTTTGAAAAACTAAATCTTTAAATCTTCCACTAAAAGGTTTCTATAAAGTAGTACAATTCTAGTATATCTAATTAGGTTGGCCCAGTCTGCCCCAACCAGTAAAATATATTAACCACTCATTAGATTTTTCACTCTAAACTGAAACTTATGGCATACCAAATAAACAAAACATAGCTCTGCCAAATAATGGGTTACAAATAGTAAGTCCTCAGGTTGATGAGATTGTATTCCAAAACAAAGCAATGTGAAAAATTTAATTAATGGAATCCCAGAAACTAACGGTAGAACTACTAACACGTCCTAGTTAGATGGGCTGTTGGCTGGGCACTGCAGACTCCAGAGGCATATGTATACGCTTGGAGCAACAGAAACAAGCACGAAGGAGAAAAACTGCATAACATCTGCTGGTGCGAAGGCTTATGCAGGCTGAATTCCACTCCTGAGAGAGGAAAAGCCCAACGGATACAGGATCCCTTAACAAATTTTTTGGATCTGATAAAAAGCCTTAAGCTTAACGAAGAGTCCTAGATAATAATGGAGACGGCATAATAAACCAATATTGGTCACCTTGCATTAATTTAAAATAGGAAAATGCATGTGAAAGTGAAATATACACTCATTTTTCTGCAAGTAACGGAAAGAGTACAAGATTTCATCCCTTATTTACAACTATATACAGTAGCTCCTCTTTTGAGTTTTATTTATTAGGCCAAATTGGACGTCATGTTGAAGAATTTTTGAAAAACTAAATCTTTAAATCTTCCACTAAAAGGTTTCTATAAAGTAGTACAATTCTAGTATATCTAATTAGCATCCCAGTTGACATCCAAATCCTCGTTGCTGCTTGTAGCTGCTTATAGATTGGATGGTATTCCCATCCAACATCCTTCTTCTGCACTCGTTAAAATAAAAGGTAACTACATCCTGCACAAAATTTTCCCACTCCAGTTTTTTTATGTCTTCCAAATTCTCATTTAATTTATTTATTACTTTCTCTCCTCAATTTAACCAGTTTTTACACCACGATCAGCCAGGTCAGGCGGAAAGGCTCATTTAATGACCTGAGTAAAGTCATGGATAGAAACACATCCAGACTACATATATCAAAACAACATCTTGACAAATATTTTAAAAATCGATTTGACAAAACTGATCGGGTTTGCTGGTAGTACAGCATTACTAGATGCTAATGGACTTACTCTACCACCCTGAATGGGTTAACGTTAACAAGTCACTTGGATGTTTGACATTAGTGTAAACCAGACACCACTAACACCAAGCTGAGCTTGATTGTCCTTTATGACTCTTAGAAACAAAGAATGATTTAGCTCCTAAATGTATATAGTTATGTATATAAATCCAAAAATCAACAAACTTATTTCCTATAGTAATTGCACGTGACATTTGACAAAAAAGTATTATGCTATGTAGAAATAATTTAGCAAGATCTTACCGTATATGTCATTTAATATGCTTAATTCTAACTTGTTGCACACTTTCATATTGCACACGGCAGACAAAAGCGTTAAAGCCTCTTTGGCTAGACATTTTTTTTGGTCCAAATCACTATATGAATAAACAGTTTCTGTACTTGATGTAGAGTATAGTTGGAGTTCATCTGGAATTACCTTTTTAGCTACATTATGAATAGCATTGGCACCTAAAAAATGATATTTAGTTAATATAATACAATAGACATGTTGAAAATGTGGACATTTTGAAAGTGAAATTAATCAGCAGAGAAGCTCTCATGTACAAGAATCGATAGGTGGTCCTCGGAAGATCTGACTCACTGAAGAGGGGGTCTCCCTCACCCGATTTAGAATAAGAAATGTGAGGTTGACCGGCATGTAGAGAAAGATTGATGTGGCCGATATAATTGAAGGGTGCCAATCCTTGGCTCCATATAGAGAATGCTAAGAATGCCACTTGATATGAAAATTTCATTTGAGATCGGCAGCGAGTATATGGGTCCCCTGTTCTGATTCTTAGAGCAAAAAAGGGTTGTCTTATTGTATATAATGATGATTTTGTGCCCCTTAATTAATGAGAGTTAATGTGTAGAATGAGAGGGCATCGAGTACTCCACCACCCTGAATTAATAGTATGTAAATATGAAAGAATGATTTAAGAGTGAGTATGAATTATTTTAGGAACTGATTGTATTGGGGGCTGAAATGACCTAGCTGTTGGCAGCCACCAGAGCCACCAACCGGTTGGATGAATAAGAATGAGGTTTGACCCTTTACTACCAACACCTGGTCTACAACCCCAAAGAATATCTGGGGCACAAAGGTGCAAAATGGCCATAAACAGAGCCAAACAACGGGGGGAGCCTATCCTAAAAAGAACCAGGAAAGGAAGACAAAACCCTAATGTAAAACCCCGGATTCTGACACCAAGGCAAACCACGGGAAGTGTTGACCCCAAGAAACCGGGGCCAACACCAACCAAAAGTGGCAAAAGGGGCAGGTCACTGGGTAGCACCCCATCATCAAGTGGAAGTGCTCCTAGGACATGCCCCAAAAAGAGCAAAACTGGGGGAGGCGGTGTGGAGCGGGTCATCNCAGCTCAATGGAGGTTTAACATAACGTACGAAAAAGACTCAGGGAACCAAATTGCAGCAATAACACTCAATGACCTGATACTTCTGAGAAGAAGGATTGAGTCTATTGACTAAACTAGGGAACTGGGAAGGTACAATAAGCCAGAAGGCTGCAGTGCCTGGGGAACACAAGCCCCGCTTCCCGGCATCCCTTCCACTATACCATACCATACCATACCAACACCTGAGGTAGGTGATTCACGAAGCATGACAGTAATTTATTGGAAATTACAAAAGCTGGAATTGCCAGTGGACTGGAAGAAGTGGTAGGCTCAACTCATTGCACATGTGTAGGTATGTACATATGTATGCAGATTTGAGCTGATATAAATCTAATCAGTAATATCAAAATAACACTAATTAGGTCAAAAGTCTGTAGAAAATCTACCATTTAGATTCTGTTTTAATTTGCAGGAAGTTTTGTCTAAATAAAACTGGCATCAATGAACACATGAATGCACATGTATATGTAATGTAAACTATACACAATTTAATTAAGCATAAATGAAGTACTAAAAACACTCTGACATTAATGACTTATTTTGGCTACCTTGTATGACTACGTTTCTAATAAATACGTTCTAATCTGACAAAATATAATACTTGATGTTTTATGTTGTGTTCATACTGAATAAACAAACTTACACGTCGTGTACAATTGCTCATAAAATTCCTCACTTAAATTTTCCTTCATTATAAATTATTTATAACTGTAGATTTATGTCAAACTCACTGAACTACTATTATATGTTTTGTTATTGCAAAGGAGAACTATGGTCTCATAGCAACATAGAAATAATTCATCATTATGACATCTGATTTGAAACTAACAATTTTTTAAATTAATACAATTAATTATTAATAAATTAATATAATTTATAACTAGTATATTACTATGCAGAATACTTTAAATAAATAATTTCAATAATTTGTCAAAAGTTATTCACTTAAATTTTGTGCTAATCAAATCATCCACCTCAGATTTTAACAGTCCAGGGTTTATGCACAACTCGTTGACTATACTACAATTCAATCCAAAAATGTCCAACTTGTTCAAACCACACTGAGTATAATGAAGTAGAAACAATCCATCTCTATTGACTGATTTCTTTGGAAAATATTGAAACCATAGAAAGACAATTTATTTTTTTTATAATGACTGGTGTCATTGAATATCTGAATGAAGAGTTATGAATGTCATACGAGTCTTAATGGTGTGCAGAAGAATAACAGGAGAAAACTGGGGACACAGACCAGAAAACCTGCTTTGGATATACACCATAATGGTGAGACCTACTCTCACATATGGCGCCATAGCCTGGGCCGATAAAGTAGAACAAATAACAAAATGAAGAGAACTCACGAAAATACAGAGACTTGCATGCATCGGTATAACGGGAGCGATGAGAACATGCCCCACAGCTGGTATGGAGAAGATACTAGGATTAATCAGCATGCTGATAGAACCCAAACCCTTCTGTGGCATACGAATCCACGCTATTAATGAGCACCTCAGACAGAAGGATAAAAATAAAATGAGAGAACAATGTAACTAAGTCATTGGACACAAACAATCCAAAAACCTCTAACAAATTTCGGAAGGAAAGAAGCGATAGAATGTATTAAAGGAAGCAGGAAAAAACTTAGAAATTCTTAACAGGACACTTCAAACTAAATGGACATCTGAAGAAGATTGGCATAACCCAATATGGCATGTACAGATTCTGCAAAGAAGCAGAGGAATCACCAACTAATAAATTGTGGTGCTACACTTGCCCGCAGGAGGTGGAATTTTGGGACGTACAACGTAACATAGAAGACATTCAACTACTGAAATCGAGCCTACTAATCAAGTTCTTTCATGAACTAGGACCAGTGTGCTAAAAGTACAGGACAGGGAATCCAACGGCTCTTAAAGGGCGCAGAATAATTCACACCCCGACTAAAACATCTATATAAATGTCAACAAAAGGTGCTCATTTTTCATAAATAATGGAGATAGATGTTTTGACACACAGGAATTGGAAAATGTGAAATTGTGGATATGGGTTGTGGACCGTTGCGCAATAACGGTTCAGCTCCTTGTTGCGCAACTTTCCGCAGTTTGTTGCGTACCACCGTCGACAGTCAAACCCTGGCGGGAAATCGTCTTCGGCATCGTACGATATCGCCGCAACACGATTGGACGGCGCCGATCATGATTTACATCTGGAAAGGTTATCAGTCATCTATGTCGGCCCAACCTGGGACAAGTGCATAACAACGATTTATAAGTTCTCCTTTAGCATAGAATTTTGACAACTGGAGAATCGGAATCGAGACGCGATGGAGTGCGACACATCCTTCAGCGACAACGATTCATTCAACATAAATGAAATCGTCGAATTAGACGGTACGACTCAATTCAACGTTATTTTTTTAAATTATTTTGTACAATTTAAAACTATCCAGAAGTAAACAACTTAGTGGTATTTAGCGAAGGGTCAACTTCTCGCAAAAAAAAATCTAAACATTTGCTAGCTACAAAAGTGCAACAGTTGTCTTTTTTAATTTTGCCTACAACCAACTTGCATCATGTTTGTTGTTGACTGCCTTTACTCATCCCGTAAACCCTTCATTGATCATGTCATTTGTCAATGGATGCATTGTTACATGCATTCTTTCATATTGAAAGTATTCACTGAAGTATCACATCGTTAACAAACATTGCATCATAATTATGAGATTGACTGACACCAGTCGTATTATTAACCACTTAATTCTGACATATTGAACGCAAGTTGTGGGCTTCCAATACAATTCCACTTGAGAATATCAAAATATCACAGCACATTGTGTTTATCCTTAACAAAGAAAAATGGTAGGCACTCATTGTGAGGGATTGAGGAGCAAGAATGTATCGAGGCCCATCTTCCATTAAGGTGACAAGGTGCGTTCTTGTAATGGGAATGTTTGAGACGGTTCAGGCAATAGGGTTGGGATAGAGAGGTAGGTGTGAAACTTTTGGAATTGGGAACTGATCAGTTGGTTGGCAAAAGGAATGTTAAGGTTGTTGTGGTTAATGGCATAGTAAGGAGCTTTGACAATTTGAGGACTTTTGATTGAAAAGATTAGATGCATTTTAGGGAGCGTACACACAGAGCAAATCTCAGGCTACCCTTGGTTAATTCTCATCAAACCAAGAGGTTGGGGCTAAAGGATTCAACCTTGTGGAATCACAATCAACAACGTCAACCTTATTGATGTTACTGCCAGAAGTCCAAACTTCAATCGAGGCCAACTGCTCCATTGACTCTGATTCGTCTCTCATATACATTAAGCAAATCATCGCCAACAAAGCAGTTTGTTGTCTTTTGTTCGCCGAGATTTGCTTAGTGTGTACTCACCTTTTAGAGAAAGAAGCCAATGCTGGCACTCAGTATGAGTTGTTAACTCTTATTGGTTAAGAGGTGAGGAGGTCTTAAGGAAATCATAATTTAAGGCATTGTGGCGAGTTCTTGGGATGGGAATATGTTGAAAGGTATGGGTGCATCGAGAGGTAGGTGTGAAACTTTTGGAATTAGGAATGGACCAGTTCATTGACAAAAGGAATTTTGAGGTCATTGTGGATAGTGAGGTAGTTGCTTTGACGATTTGTCTGAAGACTTTTTATTGGAAGAATTGGATGCACTGAATGAGGGATGGCTTGGCAGAACCACAAAGTTACACTCCATATGTCCATATTGTCTTGGTATTTCAGTCTTGGAAGTCTTTGTAATAGTCCAAGTCTTGTATTAAGTTGCTGTTTGTTGAAAGTTTTAAGTATTTATTTTCAAGTCATGATCGATTGGCATAGAAATAGCAATATCGTTTATCAAGTCAACTGTAATAAAATCTTTTAATGTTTTCTGAATGTCCAAAGTGGTTGCAGTAAAGTCTCGTAAAGGTTAATTTAGTTTTAACGGCCAAGTCAGGTTTTGGTCCTAGAAGTTTTCATAGTTTCCCAAGTCTTATGTTAAATTCCTTCAAAATCTTTATATGGAGACAAGGAATGACACCCTTCAATCAAGTAGAACACATTGAGCAAACTTTATCTACATGCCAGTCACATGCTCTGGTTTTGGCCAAAAAGTGTCCATGTGTCTATTTTTACACAAGTAATTATAATCCATCTTCTTTAATTCAGAACCTCTGAGATTTGACCTGTTGTTCAAACTCATAATACATTAGAGCTTCTCTGCCAATCCAGCCATTTCCAATCATGTTTTAATTGCATTTTTACTGTCATAGGGCTGAATTGTGGTTGTCAGGACTGTAGGTTGGGGGTCTCCTGGTCTTAGCCACCAGACAGTCAAAAACAGCAAGAATAAACTGACCAAAATGATAGAAATATCCAAGCTACATATTTCTCTAAACAAATAAAATATCTATATATCAATTGTTTGTATTGATCTTAGTCTACCTATCCTAACAAACCAGCCATCAAAGAAGACGAAAGTGGAAATGCATCTGACAGATCAAACCAGTGGGGATTGAAAGACGAAAACGATCATAAACAAAGAAACTTTAGGTTCTTCACCTCGTAGACACCAAGGAGTAGAATTCATATAAGCCTCGGACAGCCAGGTGGCACTGAGGGCAATTACCACAGCAGTAGTAGAGTCCGGAGTCATTTGGGATTGCATTAGGGCCCTTTCAAACACTGGCGTAAACAACAAAATTAACTTGTTTGGAACTAGGGCATACAAACAGGGCGGAGGAGCAATGAAGAAGCCGATAAATTTGCCAAGGAAAGATCGATGAGACACCTATTGACACTGAACCAATTTGTGGCATACCAAACTGCCAAAAACATGGATTCATCAGAGTAGGTTTAAAAAATAAGTCTTTTCAATACGGATGTAGCCCAAGGCCAGGCACGCAAAAAGTTCATCAAAGCACATCGCAGAAACTAATGGCAGAACTACTCATTCTAGGAAGAGTTAGGACTAGAAGGATAGTAGGACTGCAGGCTCCAGTGGCATATGTATAGACTCGGAATGGCAGGAACTTGCCTGTGCAGATATTGCCAAGAAGAAGAGACAGTGGAACATGTCCTCCGTTGATGCGAAGGCTTATGTTGGCTGAGATTCCTCTACAGTATTCTTGAAAAAGCTTTGGGATCTGGTAAAAAGCTTCATGAGGAGCTCTAGACAACAAAGGAGATGCACAGTAGGCCAATACGTCGTGGTGTACTGGTGCCAGTCCAGGCAAAGAGGCGGCCAACCCGTACTCTAATCCTTATTCTTAATCTTATGACCGCTTGGAAATAACCGTCAATGCTGACTTTTCCTTTCATTTTGTCAGGTACCGAGTCATCTTATTTATGTTAATTCTCTCTAGAATTTCTTAATGGTTTCTCCTTAGATCTGGATTTATTTTCTCGTATTTCAGGAATCTTTTGTCACTTCCAAAAACCACATTTTCAAACATTTGGATGTATCTTCTTAAATTATGTTGGAAAAAAATGAAATCTTAAAATATGTTGTGATTGTATCAAATAGTCAGTATACCTATAGGCTTAAATAATGCTTAAACAATAAAATGTTACTTGATCAAGATTTATCTGATTTTTATTTTATTTTTTTCAGACATTATCAACTGTGAAAAAGAACTTTTTAACAAATTAGATGGGATAGATGGGATATTTTCTGAAGTTGGGTTACTTTCTCAGCTTGACATGTTTGGTGACACTGAAATTAGAGAAGACTTTGGGCAAATTGGAAAACAAGAACAAATGGAATTATTTTCCGACAATGAACATCAGGAAAATCTCTCGAATAACCATTTACCACAAGTTTCTTTGAAACATATGACATCACCGAGCTCTCAGCAGCAGCAGCAACCACAGGCACAGCTACTTCAACCCCAAGCCAAGGCAACCTATCCCGAAATTCCCTTGCAGTGTCCAGCTAATCCGCAACCCATAACCACTATACCGCTTTCGGTCCATCAGACTTTTCACCCGGGCCACGAACAACAGCCGTTATCGCAAATTGTGTTGAACCAAAATACTTACTTGCTTCAGCCTCAAAATAAAATCTTTTATAGCAACATAAAGCCAGCTGAGCCCAAGCAGAATAGTTTTCCGACGATCGCCCAAGCGGTTACAAAGCACGAACCACCCATAATCAGAAAAAAGGCTAAAACTTCACCGGCTCAAGAGAAAATTAACAACAATCAGTATGTCACCGTGCAAAATGTTAGCAAAATTCAAGTTCCTCAAGATCAAATGAAACAGGTATTGTTCATTCTTAATCGTTCATATTTTTTAACACACATAAACAAATTGTTATTTAGTTAATAACGTTATATAGATGATTTTCCAAGCACAACTGATAGCACCTGCAACTCAACCGGCAGTTCTCTACACTACAGGAAATATTCAGGAGAAACCAGTCGTAAATCTAGTTAATACGGTAAATACTAATGTCACTCCTTGTCCTACTGACAACAGCAACACAGTTTTGGCTACAGGTAATATTTCCCACTGCAATATTTGTAACGGTATAGGTGAATAATTGTTTTATCATTTCAGGTATCCCAGTGATATTAGAAGCTGATAAAATATCATTGAACCGATTGAAAAATGGGACCAGAGAAAGAGTTCCAAAATTTAAAGAAGTCAAAAGAAATATGCACAATGCAATTGAGCGTAGATACCGAACAAGCATAAATGACCGTATAATTGAACTTAAAGACATCATAGCAGGGCCTGCTGCCAAGGTAGTATTTTACCAACAACTAGCTTTATAACCCAGCGTTGCCAAGGGAGATAATAAAAAGTGTTATTTCTCTTTTTTTTTTTTGTAAATCCTAAAGCCCATTATTTGTTATATGCCCATTTCATAGTGTTTAAACTGCCCAGCATTAATAAAAACAAAGTGTGAAAGTTTCATTGAAATCAGTTCAGTGGTTTTTGTTTTTATGATTAATACACATATGGACATTTACTTTTATACATGTAGATAATTTTATTTTTAAATAGATTAATTATCTTTTTGACTTCCAGATGAATAAATCTTTGATTTTGCGCAAAGCTATTGAATACATTCGGTACCTCCGGGAGTCCAATGAGAAGCTAAAACAAGAAAATTTAGCTCTGAGGATGGCTTCTAACTCTGTTGATGGGTTACTCCCTCAATCGCCGTGCAAAGAGGAAGTCTGCATTGGTGGAATCACTCCTCCAAGATCAGATATATCTTCACCTACAAGATCAGACCATTCAGGGCCTCCGACCCCTCAAGATATCACTTTCAATGAAATTTCTGTAAGTGATGTTCTCAGATGTTTTTATATGAACATTTCGTACAGCAGTTATTTAGAAAGGACATAAGTTCATACTTTTAATAAAAATGGACTATAAAACATAATTAATTATAACAAGTTTTTCTTTATCATTTTAAGGGAAAAGAAGATTATGAATCGGTTAGGATGCGTGGCATGTTGGACCAAACGAGGGTTACGCTTTGTGCATTCATGCTCTCAATTTTGGTGTTCAATCCATTTAAATTCTTTGCGAATAAATTTGGAGCTAACAACTTCTACTCTGATGCTACACTCGAAAGACGAACATTGCTGGAAGGTAGGATAATGTTACTTACTTCAAAAAAAAAGTTTAGTTCTCTCTCAGAAATTCGAACTAATCACACGCGTGAATTCCAATTACTAACCCCTAACCACCCCTTAACACAAGAATCTAGCAGTTTGTTTTTTAGGTGAAGAGAGGTGAGGGATTCACTGAACAAAAACATTATCTCTCGCTTATTCAAGCATTCACTCATTTATTCTCTCCCTCACTCACTTACTTTCTCTATGCACTCACTTATTCTCTCATTCGCTCATACTTTTTCTCTCCTACACACTCATTTACTTTCTCTCTCACTCATTCATTCACTTCTTATACTCTCACACCCACTTATTTTTGCTAGTGCTTAGTGCTCACCCACTCACTTATTCTCTCTCATTCACTTATTCTCTCACTCACGCATTCACTCACTTTCTCTTCCCTTCCCTCCCTCTCTTTCTCATATTTTCCTCTCTCACTCACTTATTCATTCACTCTCTCTCTCTCTCTCTCTCTCTCTCTCTCACACTCACTCTCACTCTTTCTTTCTTTCTTTCTTTCTCTCTTTCTCTCTATTTTTTTCTCTCACACTCTTTTCCTCAATCATTCTCTTTTACCCCACATGTTTCATTTGTTTCCTTCCTTTAAAATCTGACTTCGTGATTTTTTTTCCTGTTCGGAGTATGGATTAGGGAAATTAAAAAAAAGGTAATTAAAAAAAAAAAATTTTTTTTGTTTATTTTAGTCTCAGATATATGGAATGCTGGCTCTTCTGTGCTGCTTTGGGTTTTCAATATGTCACTTTTGCTGTGTTGCCTTGTCAAATTGCTGATGTTTGGTGATATCGTTCTTCCTGCCAAGTCCAAAGAGTCGATGAATTTTTGGCGCCATCGGAAGCAAGCAGACTTTTACATATCAAAGGTATATTTAAGACATGCACATCACATTCTTGTTATAGAGATTTATTTTTAATCTTGTTTGCACATTTAGATTGCTGATACTATCATATTGTTTTTATTCAAATTTTCTAGGCCAACACTGCAGGGGCAAAACAGGAACTCTTAACATGTCTCAACATACTGAACTTGCCGTTGCCCACTACCAAAATTCACTTAATGGCTGCGTGTTTGTGGCAAATAATTCGCCAGTTTTTACATAGGCTATGGATTGGGCAATGGCTTTCACAACACGAAGGAGGCTTTTTTGTAAACCTGTAAGTTTTTTTATAATTATAATTTTTATTATGTATTGTGCTTTTTTAACTCCTCATTTTTAGTTCTGCTCGTCAAGAAGCTTTGCGTTCTGCTAGAGAGCAAGCTATGGTTTACCATCACCTACACAGACTTTATCTAATAGAGCCAAGGTATTCATTAACTGATTTCGTTATCGCACTTTCTGCTGCTAATCAAGCAGAAGCTGCTGGGTCGGTTATGACTAAAGAAGAATTGGCACAGATGTATTTTGCAATCGCAATTCATTTAAAACAGCTCTCAGGACTTCAGTTCATTAGTAGGTAAGAATGTTGTGTTTTGCCATTTTACAATTTCCTGTACTTCTATTATTTGTTAAACTGTTGAATTTCTCCTTGGTATCTGCTGGATAATGATCATGTAGTTTGATCAGTTATTGTAAGTCAAAGTACTTGTTTATTTGATTTTCCACTTATCTAATTAATTTTTTGCAGTTTCATTAAATAATCACTTCAACTCAAAGTCATATGTTTTATTGTTGCATATTGTCATTTCTGTATTTGTTTTTGTTGCAGGTTTTACTTTTGGCTTGGATGCCGAATCGGTTTGAATTCGAATTCCAACTGGCTATTTACAAGCCAGGGCAAAAACTTCTTAATGAACCACAACTGGGATTATGAAAAGAATAAAATCAACAATGTTTTTACCGAATTAACAGATGGAACCAATCCTCTCGCGTTTGCCAGCAAAGTAAGCATTTGAAATCGAGTTTTGATTGATTGTCTTTTTTTCCATACATTTTCAATTTATTTATAGGCATTTCGTGAGCATCTGATTGATTGTATCCTCCATGTGTTGGTCACACCTGGAAGTCGTGCAATCGAAAATCCAGCCAACACCGAAAATGAAGAAAATACTCAAACTGTTAAAATTCTTTCATCGTATTTGGAAATACTCTCCAACAATACTTCCTTCGAAGGTTTGTTTACTTTAAATTTATGATATAATAAAAAGTTAATAATCATGACCTTATTAAGAACTTATTGTTAGATTGATCTTCATCCTTGCTAATAAATATATTTCCAGTTTTGTTTCAGCCTATAACTATTTATCGCTACAATGTATTACATATTTTATAGTCTATTACAATTTTTAATTTTATATTTTACATATTTCTGTTTAGGAGGTCTGTGCCATTAATTACTTTAATTTTTGAAATTTTAAAAAATTATTTAAACTTCAAAACAAAACAAATATATATTACCTTTTTATCATCCTTAATAATTACCTTATTTTAAAAAAATAAAACTGTAAAATTGTATGTTTTTATATTATTTTATGTAAAATTAAGGTAATTATTGAGGATAATGATAAAATAATAATCTTTAACCTTGTGGTGATTCGATACGATGTTGGTTCTGCACTGACTCTCTTAGCATGATTAGTGGTCCAGTCTCCATCGACCCTCTTGTAATGCTCTTGTTGGAGAAATACCAAGAACCAGGAGCTTGGCAAAACGGTTGGGAACCCGGTTTCATCGGTCTGGTGGGTAACGAAAAGGCGGATGAGGCTGCTAAGGCCAGGACATTCCTACATCCCTAACGACTACGATCTGGCCCCCGATAATAAAAAGACAATAAAAAAGTGTTGGTGGACCGGATCAGCACTGTTGATACGTGGCCCTAGGAGGACCTGACTCGTAGATGAAGGGTAACCACGCCTTCAGAATAGGCCATGTGAAGTTGACACTAAAGCCCCTGTATGTGTCCGCCATGCAGAGAGGTTGCTGGATGAATCCCACCTAATTGAAGGGTGTAAATCATTGATTCCTTATAGGGAGCATGTATGAATGCCACCTGATATTAGAATCTGGGTCCCCAGTTCCAATTTTTGGTGGAAACAGGGTTGTTTTATAGCGTTATAATACTGACAGTTTTGTGTCCCTAGTGTGTGAGAGTGATGTAGTGTAGAAAGGCTGATAGAGAAATATCAAATACACTTCCACCATAACTGAGTGAATATACATAAGAAAGAATATACTTATGATTGAATGAGGGGGGGCCGCGGTAGCCGAGTGGTTAAGGCATCAGACTCTCGGCTAGTAGATCCCGCGTTTGTGGGTTCGATCCCCACCGTCGCCTCTGGACTTTTTCTGACGCCTAAGGGGACCGGTGGCCGCAATTGAAAGAAATTGACATGGCATTCATCAATGGAAGGGGCAGGATCGGATCTCAGTGACCCTGAATTTGGTCCCAACCCCCTTTAGATATGAGTTTCTTCGATGGAAGAACACCGGTACAATGGGGGTTCAAGTTCACATTTGTGTTGCGAGCCCTCCCCCAAAATATGGACCCAGGGATAAAGTACAATAAGCTGTATAGTTCAGCTGCAGTGCTCAGGAGGGAACTCCTCCAGTCCCTGGTATCCAAATAAAAAATAAATAAAAATGAGTGAATGAGAGCTCTGGATTTAGGAACTGATTAACTGGCTGAAATGACCTAGCAGTTGACAGCCCCAGAGGCTGAATGGATGAGACTGAGGTTTGACTCTGGACTGCCAATCCAATGGTAGGTGATGCTTGAGGCCAGACTGTAATTTATTGTAAATTACAAAAGCTGGAAAATATGAAAACAGTAAGATTTATTTATATGTTTGTTGGCGCTGCTGAGTCGGCTCCCTTCATCATCAGTGGCATGGCTGATTGCCCCACAAAATGCAAAAAAATATGACAAATGTTTTAAGCTGTAGGCTTGTTTTGTTTATAATGTAATGGGGAAAAAATCCCTTTTATTACCCTACATATAGAAAATGTAAAATATAAATTAATTTTAACCTTGACTTGGCAGGTGTAGAGGACAAAACCGCAAAATGGTGGACGACTATTATGCAAGTGGCTACTTTATGGATGCAGGGGGAAGATTACGAAGCAGAAACGCTTTACAATCAGGCTGAAAAAGTCCCATCCTACCTCCTAAATTATCCATTGGCGAAAGCAGTGTTGGCCGGGTTTCAAATGCGACGATCGTTTATATCAGGAAATAATCATAAAGTGACGTTAAAGTACGCATCTTACGCATCACATCATTTGCTCGACAGCATCACTTCAAGCCATAAAGCGGATGAAAAAACGTTGGTGAGCATGGATTTAAATGTCATAATATCCAATATGTAGTATTTGTTTGGAATCGGTGGATTTAATTTTTTGCATGTAACAATTCCAGCTGTCACAACTTATGTTATGCGATTGGCTTTTGGAAACAAGAATGTCAATATGGGAAAGTGGGGCAGTATCTGTGACATCCTTGTTCCTTCAAGATTTCCACTCTGATATTGAATCCCTGAAACAGATAGCCCAGTTTGTCCCTGTAAGTACCAATCAAAACCTATTTAATTTTTTTATCTTTATATTATTGTATTTGTATTTATACACATATTTATACAATTTGTCTTGACATAAATTAACAAATATCAGTTTCAAGATTCTTATAAAACAAACAAATAGTGGAGAAGACAGATGATTTTTACCATGCTTAAAATGTTTATGTATTGGTATGTGCATAAGTTTTTTAAAAAGATAGTTCCTACTCACAGTAAGTTGTTTTGGAACGATCCGGATTTCGAGCCTTTTGGCTCATTATCAGGTTGAAGGATTTCTACAACCACGTCTCTCGACATGAATTGCCAAAGTGAACCCGCTGATACATCCGCCAACGCGACGTTCCAATTATCAGCTGATTTTTTTAATGACGCTCAATTTGAACGTGCGAAACGCGGAAATTATAACACAAATAAATATTAGAATAATAAATACTTAATATTGCTATAAATTACTATAAAAATAATAACAATTAAAATAATTAGATTATTTGGATGTTTGATATTATTTATGCACATATTTAAAATGGGAGGTAGATCAAAATCTGTTATATTATTAATGCATTTATCACCATGTTCAATTTTACATTTTTTAATTTCAAATTTCTCAAACCAATCTAGTTCTTTCCCTTTGTTGAAACTATGTAACACTTTTGTATTTAAATTTGAATTGAAATTATGTTTTGTTTCTTTTAGATGGTCCTTAAATTCCGAAAATTTGCTCGATTTAGGCAAGTGTTCTTTTACTCTTGTTTTTATTTCTCTACCGCTTTGTCCTATATATTTAATATCACAATCATTACAATTGAGTTGGTAAACCCCGCTTTTTGCCAAATTGTCTACTTTGTCTTTAGGTTTTAAGAGGATGTTTTTAAATGAACCCGTACTTCTAAAAGCTATTCTAAAACCTTCTTGTTTAAAAATTTTACTAACTTTTTCCGATAATTCACCAATGTATGGCAAACAACAGAAACCTAATGATTCATTTGTGGTGGGGTGGCTGAGTCCTATTGTTGATTCATTTAAAGTTAATTTTTTTATTCTTTTAACTAGCAACCTATCAATAAATATTTCTTGATACCCGTTGTTTTTTGCTAAGGTTTTAATAGTTTTTAATTCTTGTTTATAGTTATCAGGTGTTAGCGGAGGTTTTAACATCCGGTCTATGAGCCAAATGAAACCAGCAGCCTTTTGAGACCATGGGTGGGAAGAATCTGTTGGTATCATAGTGTCTGTAGTTGTGGGTTTTCTATATACGTCTATTTCTATTAGGTTGTTTATTATGGACAGTTTTAGGTCTAAATTTAGCTCGAAATCCGGATCGTTGCAAAACAACTTACTGTGAGTAGGAACTATCTTTTTAAAAAGGATTGAACACCACACTCACTCCATCATTTATCATTTCTATTAGTTTTTCACCTTTCAGAAAAAAATCAAACCTTTAAAATATAAATGTATTTTATTTTTAATCCAAAATATAATTTCTTTCTTTTTTTATAATGTACTTCCTACGTTTGGGGAGCAGAAATATCCCCTTTTTGTAAAATTCTGTCTTAGATGAGAAGAAATCTGTAAATCTGATATTCAGAGCATTTTCGTTTAAAAATTTCGTACCTTTTAAGTGGTCGTCTATGGCGAGGAAGGGGTGGGACAACTGTTAAGCTTAACTTAGCAATTTTTACTCTGCTTAAAACATAGGAAAAACCGCTGACCCAGTGAAATGAATCAGCTCTTTCTTATGGCTCACGCTGACGTTCACCAAATTTATCTCACCCAAATTCCACAAGTAAATATCTAAATTGCAAGGTGTATATGAAAGAAATGGCGAACTGCTAATCTTTTTTTATTATTGCCATTCTTCTTGAAAACAAGTGAATAAAACAAAAATTAAAATATAAAAACAAATAAAAGTGTATATATAATGGAAACAAATATTTTTATTGAACATAAAATAAAAAGAAATCAACACATATTTTTGAAACCTCGCAGAGCTCATCCATAAATTGTGATTTCTTGTAACTGGGTATAACCTGTAAATAAATAAATAAGGGCTAGAGTAATGGTCAATGCTGGGAAGCGGGATCGTGGTTGAAACTTGACTGGGCGAGAACGCAGAAAAAATACAGACTCCCACATCCTGGAGAGGTAAATTATAAGAGTGGAGAGATCAGTGAGAGTGGCTCTTTTCAGACTGGTTTCATCGCTCAGAGCCCGATACTAGCTGAGCAGTATGACGCCTGGTCATCTTTTACCAGGGATGGACGGTTCTCCTCTTTGTTTCTAATAAATTATTTCTCAAATATCCCTTTAAATAGACAATAGGACCTTCAAGAGGGTGCAATCCTGCTCTTGCCGTCGATAGTGGTGTTTCATTCTTCTTGCAAATGGACCTTCGGCATTTTTGTAAAGAACCTCATCCCCAGTGACCAAATAGTAAATAAACCCTTCTGATTTATTCCTATTAAGATGTGAAACACAACAAGTCATGCGGTCTTCCTTGTTCGTGAGGGACAATTCACAGGGAACCCATAAAACGAGTTTCACAGCATAACCCAGAGATCAGATTCTTCTTTCTATTTTCGTGCGATGTACCTGAAATCTATCTGAAAGCTCTGCTACAGTTAATTTGTTTTTTCCTCATCCTCCATGCCATTAATAAGTTATTGCTTTTAAGCGCTTCAGGCATTCCACAACTAGGCTGGTCTTTTAATTTGCTTTTCTCCATTACTAAAATATTCAATTACTATGTATCACTGTAAATTCTACATAAATTGTGACAGGCATCCGCCGCTCTTGCCTGAGATCGAACTTGTATAGTAAGCAATGTCTCAAATGAATTTTATCTTCTTCCTTCTCGTATGCATCCCAGTGTAGATGTAGATTGACTTTTGGAATAAACTTCCCCTTTGTTGACAATCTCTTTCGATAGGGCTTTTCTCACCGTAGTGCTAATGGGGCAAGGGTGAAAATTGAAATATATAAACGGGATAAATCTCCAAATTATTATTATTATATTACATAATGGGGAAGATGGTTCCATCTTATGCCACAATACATTTCTAAAAGCTGTCTGTTGTATGTACATTAAACAAAAATATGCAATCAGTTTATGCATTTCTATTTTATTTTTAATACAGTCTGCTGTCCGAAGAGTGTTCATTTATGAAGCAGCAGTTCATCTGATAGCTGGAGCTTCACCAGCACGTGCTCAACACTTTTTGGATAGAAGCCTTAGGCACAGGCCTACGAGGTCATCAATGATTTGTGGCGGGAAAGGTAAACATTAAAAACAAATTTTAAAAAAAACTTTTGATTTTATGTATTTAATTATATTTATTTCACCTTCAAGATAAATCTGGAGAAAATTCGAGTGGAAAGCGTGAACACGCGGCTGCACTTTACCTCGCTTGTAAACATTTGCCTGCACCGCTTTTGTCATCGCCGGGTGAACGAGCTGGAATGTTGGTTGAAGCGGCGAAAACTCTCGAAGGAATAGGAGACAAAAAACGTTTGAACAATTGCTACAAACTTATGAAAACCTTAGGCACATCAGCAATTACAAACTGAAGTAGTAGGTTGTCCGATACTTATTGATTTTACATCATTAAATCGCCTTGTTTCCTATCATCTATGCAAATGTAAAATTTTCTATTTATGTAATTGTTTTATTTTTAAACGCGTTACAAAATATATATTTGTTACAACTTTTTACAATTTATTTTCCTCTCCTCTTTTCTTTCTTTTGCTTGTAGATATTTATTTATTTTGTAAATAAAGGATTTGTGTCTTCCATTATCTATCGATATGGTCAAACACTGCAGACAGGTCGATAAAAAAATGCCTAGACCATCCTACTCAATCTTATTTTGACAATGCTCATTATCTTATCAACAGGTGCCCTGCCTGATGTCATCTTATTTATTTTTTTTAGGGGGCATCCGACAGCTTGGTTATTTTAGCCCCGTCCAATCATCGTATTATACTGTCTTTAACGTTTATTTATTAAAATCTTTATTCAACATTTAGTACAGTTCTCATAATTAATGATTTAAGTTGTTAACTTTTTTTTTCTTCATTTTCTATAGGTAGGTAGGTTCTGTAAGTAAATACAGTATGAGCAGAAATTTTGTAAATTGGAGAAGAATGGAGAAAGACGTCACTTTTTTTCTCAAGCTTATTTGCTCTCGCCTTCCCAATCATTGTCAAGTAATTTAATTAGTTATCTGTTTATTATTAATTATTATTCCAATTTTTATGCAAACATGGTTGTTAACAATTTTTTTTTTTATTTTTTATTGGCCTTATGATCTTGCATATTAGCCATGGTACGAATTCTTGTGTTCAAATTGGGGGTTATCGGGAAAAAAGGGCCAGAGGCGACGGTGGGAATCGAACCCACGACTGCAGTGTGAGAGTCTCTCATGCTAACCACTCGGCTACCGCGGTCCCCAACAAAAATAAGTGTCCTGTTTGTGACACTAAATTTTATTCTCAACCAATTTTTGCATAAAATTGGAAATGAGTTAAATGCACGAACGTAATTTTTTCCATCCACATCTGAGTATACCCAAATGTCAATTTTCCAGTTCAGAGATACATTGGTACATTCGAACACACCACCTTCAGCAAAACATCTCTGTACTTCATCAAAATTAGTTTGTAATTTTCTATACATATTCTTTTAACTCCATGTTTCAATATTTTTAGTAAAATCTGGCCAGAATTGTCCTTAATTTCATTATGTTCATTTAGGTTTTTTAAATTCTATATTTTTTCTCCGTTGCTCATTTTCATTTTTTATTAAGATAATAAATATTATAATTAGTATAGAAATAGATTCTTCTTAATCAAGTTCAAACCTTTATGAAACGACTGGCACTTATTCTCTGGTAGCACCCGGACTTGGAGTTTAAATTTTCCCAAAGGAGTTTTCTCTGTAGTTACTTTCTCTAGACAGTAGACTACCTTGTTTAAAATTAAAAAAAAGTTTTTAAAACTTCATGCGTGTTCCTGGTCTCATTTATTTTATTAAAGACTGACGGCAGCGTTTCTACATATACCTGAGACGAGATTTTAAACTAGTTAAATGGAACCTTGCCAGGACCAGGTGCCCTGATATTCGTTGAATTTTTAACTACTTGCATTAATACTTTTATATGAAAAGGGGTATCCTATTTATTAATAGTGGTTTTGCATAACTTATTCTCAGTGCATTTATAAAACGGTTGAATGTTTTCCTACTTCTATCGCTATTCTTCTGCCAGTATAATTTTATAAAATTTAAAATGATTCAATTTGAATGTTCATACTAAGCTCCAGTCTCTTTATTTTAAATGAATTTTATCTTTTAGGCAGAGACGTTTTTATAATCACAAGCCGCCTTTAAATATAGAACTAGTTGGAGAACACGTTTTTCTAAATGTGTTTAAGGGCTCCAAAAAGTCTTGAATGTGAATATTGCGCAATATCTATCAAACCAGTCTTGTTTGTGATTAATTTCTTTACAATTAATTAAGGTTTTTAGTCGAAATAAAAAAGTCGAATTTTTTCAAATGTCGTGTAATTGGATTGGATTCTCGACAACAAATGAAATGGCCACAGAGAGCTTTAGTGAAGTATATTTCATTTTAAATCATTAAATTCACTAATTTCGTGGTCCACGACCAATTAATATATTACAATTAATTAAGGTTTTTAGTTGAGATAAAAAATGGCAAAAAGGAGGGAAAATTCAAAAGGTGGGGTTGAGATGGGAAGTTAGTGTCCGAGTGGGTCGAGGTCGCGATAGCTCAAGTGGCAGAGCAGTGGCGTATCTAGCCGAAGATCGTGGGTTCGAATCCTGCTCGTACCATTGAATTTTTTATCTGTCAATTGGTCAAGCGGACCACGAAATTAGTGAAATTAATTTTTTTACTCATATAATTTTTCTTTCTTACAACACCATTTATTCGAATATGCAACAAATAAAACAGTTGATATGTACAAATGTAAAAATAAATTAACACAAAATCTGGTAATTCAACAAGAAAAAAAAACTATATAGATAAATACTAATCTAGCACTGGAACACAAAGAATCATCCAGTAATGGGAATCGTACGGGATGTTCTTATGATGACTGAGTAATGGATTTGGATGTGCTGAAAGGGATTTGTGGAATTTTGTAGGAACATACTTTATAAATATATATATAGTATGTAAATGAGATTGAAAATATTATACCATATATCTACTTAGTAGTCATAATTATTATATTTTTTATTATTATCATCGTATTATTTTAATTAATTATACTTTATTCTCAACCAAGACCTTAGATTAAAGTGTAATTAATTAAAACAATTAAGATAAACATTTATAAATGAAAATATAACAAAAATATATATAAAATATATATAATCATTAAAGAATAATATAGTTCTTGAAATTATTCAATTTTAATTATAATTATTCTTTTTATGTAAGGTTTTTTGGTTGAGATTAAAAAAATCAGTGTCAAGAGCGGGATTCGAACCCACGACATTCGGCTAAATACTCCGCTGCTCTACCACTTGAGCTATTGTGAAGTCATAGTTGTGAGACAGCGCTTCTCAAAATCTCAGTTGGTACTTGCCTAGGCATTAATGATAATAAGTGTACTGTTATTGTTCTACTTGGTTTTTCCAATGCGTTTGGTTCTGTAAATCATGCTTAATTTGAAATTGACTTTGAATCTTTTGGGTTTTTCTTCTTCTGCTTGTAATCTCATATATCTGTCTGATAGAACTCATGATAGTTGATATAGCTTTGCATGATAGCTTTAAATTCCATCTCCTATTTTCTCTCAATTTCAGCGGTGTATTCCAAGGCTCTATTCTTAGACATTTAATCTTTTCCTTGTTTATAAATGAACTTCCATTAGTTCTTAATTTCTCCCAATTTCCTATTTATGCTGATGACATTCAATGTACGTCCTACAAGCAATGAAGTTATCTCTGTTCAACCAAGATCTTCATTCTCAACCAATGGTCAAGTAATAATAGCATTCTTTTAAATACTAACAAATCACAGTTCTTATTAATTTCCAATAAACCTATTAATACCGATATCCCTCCTCAAATCAATGGCTCCCCTATTAATATTTGTCTTAAAGTTAAAAATTTTGGCGTTATCTTTAATTCCAAGCTTACATGGCATGACCATGTGTGCTCTATTGTTTAAAAAGTCTACTCAAGCCTGCATTCTCTTTGACACCTTAACTGTTTCACTCCACAGAAAACTATGAGTTCTCTTTATTAAATCCCTAAAAATACCTTATTCTTCTTATTGAAGTGCTATTTTTTCACTTTCTTTTGATTCTCAATCTGCTCATTGCCTTCATTTGCTTATTATTCATTTATTAGATACTGTTATGACACCAAGAGATTTCTGGAAGTTTGGTGGAATAATACTCCAATCATGAGACATGTGAAGAAATTCATAAAAGGGTCATTCGCAAAACTTACAAGAGAATTACTGTAAGGTAACCACAACAGAACCAGGATTCTGGCGACTCCTGACAGGGCACTGTCATCTAAGAAGGCACATGCACCAGAGAGGAGTTCAGACAGAAGAAACACTGTGCAGATACTGGCAAGAAAAGGAGAAGACTGCCGAACGCATTTTATGTTTTTGTGAAGGTCTTTGTAAGTGCAGATTTTTGCAACAAGGAGAGGAAAAACCACAAGCAAGATCCTAACTAAAGAGCCGCTGGCAAGGCTATGGATGTGATTAACACCCCGAAGCTGGCCAGTGAATTGTAAAAAAAAAGAGAAAAAACCAGGAGCACAATAGATCCACTCTTGTTGAGGTGCAGAAGGCCTTGTGGTCACCTCTTTTATCCCTATACCCTATCCTAGTACGTTTCAAGTTTAACAAAGCTACAGGAAAAGCATGCAATAAATCAATTCCAAAAAAATAATAATAGAGTGGGAGCTGATAAATAGTATGTTGGCGGAATAAAGAACTTACAGATAAAAGAAAAGAAGTGAATTACCAGAATGCGAGGAAGTAGCAGGATGATGATGACATTAAGAATGAATTGATGAAAAGAAATAATATGGTGAGATGATAATGAAAGCTTAAATAGAATGTTGGAAAAAATTATTGCAATTCTGTAGATGGTCAAAATCCCTGGAACTTGGTGTACAAACCATCTACAGGTAAGTTAAAAACAATTTAGTTGTATCCACAGTTAAGAAACTGGATGTAAGTTATACATGTGAGTTTAAAGATACCATTGAAACAGTTATGGATAAATTCTTCTATTGAAGAAAATGCTTATCATAAAAAATAAGAGAAAAGAAATTTTACAGGAGATGAACAGGTTGAAGGCTGTTCACTTTGGATGAAGTAAGAAGAGCAATTATTTGCAATTATTATTAAGCAAGCGAGATTAGAAGATCATTGAGATCAAAAGAGCAAGATCATCATCAGTGAGAATTAAACCTAAAATTTCTATATTGTGTACATAATTTTATAAATTCATTTACACATCTTACTTTTATTTGTATAATTTAAACAACGTTTATAAATCTCCGTCCCTGAAGATGAACTCAATAACAATCCAAACATTGGCACGAAAAGAAAATGTTTTTTTAAACCTACATTACATCAGACCCCATGTCACGATCTGTAAACAATCATTAATTAAGTCACTAAATACCACACGTTAGCAAGTTAATTGAAGAAAACTTCAAAAGAAGTTCAAAAGAGAAGAAAAAATACGTAAGTTTCTTTTAACATAGGACAGCAACTCTGGCTGATAATAACAAGATCAGAATGGAAGGGCTGCCCTCAAGGTCCTGTTGTTGACTAGGTTTTCGGAATATTAAATATGGCTCGGTGCTCAAGCAGCTATCTACTCAAGCTTCTATTATCTTTGATGCTTTAGCTTTTTCACTCCACAAAAAACTAGAGTTCTTCTTATTAAATCCCTAATAATTCTCTTACTGTAGTGCTATTTTTTCACTTTCATTAGACTCTCAATCTGCTCATCGCCTTCAAATTACTTACCATTCCTGCATTATATACTGTTATGGTCTTAAAACAAGGCATCATATTTCATCCTATATTAATGAATGCCCTCAGTATTTATCAATTATCTTTCCTCATTCCTTATCCAAATGCACCAATCATATCCCAAGCCTTCAGTACTCCTCTAAACGTTTAGCCTTATCCTTCAGAATTGCCGGGCCAAGAGTGGAATTTGGTTCCACGGGAAGTACATTCTGCCTCTTCGCTGGCTGGTTTCAGGTCTATATGAGTTTTTAAAAACATGTCATCTCCGTTTCTTTTTCCCGTTTCTTTTTTTCTCTTTCTGCTTTTCTTTCATAATGTATTATATTTTCATATATGTATAATATATATATATTTTCATCATTCGATTATAAATAATTTAAAAATATATTATTGTCATTATTGTTTATTATATGTTTTATTGTTATTATATTAATCCATTTATGTTTAGTGGGCTAATTTGACCATATTAATTATTTCAAATAATTATTCTTTTTTGTAAGGTCTTGGTTGAGATGAAAAAGTTAGTGTCACTAGCGATTATTATTATTATTTCTGTTATTATTTTTTGTTTAAAAAACTTAATTTATTTCTAATATAAGTACATGTAAGGGAGCTTAAAGCCCTATTTGTACATTTAAAAATTAAAATAAATAAATAAATGTGGGATCGGTTCGTTCGTTCAGTTAAGGCGGTTCGTCTGTGAACGACCAGCCGGCGGCCATTCGACGTTCAGTTCAGGTTATCGTCGGACGTCGCCAAACGACGTTGGTTCAGTCTTCAGTAACAGTTCTCCTTACTTGGTCACGTCGTAAGCATATACGTCCGTGTTTTAAACTCGTTTGACGCTTCTATTTCGCAACTCCGCAAACCCGTTTCTATGGAGGCCAACTCGAAGCTCTCTCCCGACGACAAGGAGGCATCTGAGATGCTGGTTGACCAGTCCAACGCCAAAATAGACATCCTCCTCCAGGAAGGGCCCCAAAACAACGGGGACACGGTCATCAGCATCGCCGAAGTGAGCCAGGCTTTCGTCGGCATGGGCAAGGAGGAGCTGATGAAATTCGCCAACGACCCGTTTTGGGTGAAGCTGCGTTGGTTCCTGTTCGCCTTGTTCTGGCTCATGTGGCTCGGGATGCTCGCCGGGGCAGTCGCAATCATCTTCTTCGCCCCCAAGTGTTCTCCGCCTGTCCAGGAGCCCCTAGGCGACCAGGCACTCTACCAGGTCGACCTGGGAGACTATTACGACCAAAAGGAAAACCCGATCAAAGGTGAGCCCGACAAAACATTTTTTAAATTATTAAAATTTTTATTTGATATTCTACACGATTACAATATAAAACCAATGCTAAAATGATCCGAGGTCTACTCTTTGATGACTCTTTCCGCCCCTTTAATAACACTTCCTTCAATTTGTACCACAATTCAAAAGACTTCAACCAAATTGGGGGAAAGAAAGACGCTACATTGTTCCGATAAAAGAAATATTTATTTATTTAGCACTATAAAACCCATATGTCTCAATTTTTCAATTGGTGTAATCATTTCATCAATCCGGCACCCGGCAGATATGGCGATCGTGATTTATTTTAAACTTCTCTCTTGAAAGATCACTTGTGATGAAAACGGCGAACATATGCGGACCCACCTGTTGTAACAAATATATGTACCAAACTATACAGTTGGAACACGTTTATTTTTATTTTACCCTCTTCATTCCCTTTTTTATCAACAAGAATAACCAAAATGGAACTACTGTAGTTTTGAATTAATACCCAATTATACATGTTCTAGAAAAAAAACAAAAAAACTTGAAAGTGCCCTATTTACTTATATTTATATTACTCCACTAATCACATATAAATGACGCGAGTAATTTGATAAAAATCATAATTGGATTGCCTGGTCTGTTTGCTTGTTCACTGGCATCTGACTATTGATTGTTTATTAGCTGATTTGTTAGTACATACATTTATTTGATTGGCTGACTAGTTCGGTCTGATAGTCTGTCTGATGGTTGGTCAAATGCCTCTCTGGTTGGATGACTGACTGTCTGTCTGGTTGGTGAATTCGTTGCTTTTTTGGTTGATTTACTGTCTCTCTTTATGTGTGCAAAGTTTATTAGCTGAATGTCAGTGTGAATTGTTTCACTTTTTGCAAAGGATGGTTCTTGTTCACAGTTTGGGTGACTTTTGATCTTTTGTTTAGCTGAATTGCTGAATGTGTAATTGTTTGGTTGGTTTATTGACTAGTCAGTTTATTGTTTGAATAGCTGACGGGCTGTTTGGCTGGTGGTCAATCTAATTTGAAGTAAAAAAGGGTTAATTTCAAGCCAAAAGGGTTAGTTTCAAGTTAGAAAGGGTTAATTTGAAATTAAAAAGGGGTCATTTGAAATTTTAAAAAAGCTTAATTTGAAATAGGCAAGGTTAGTCTGATGCTAAAAAGGATTAATTTGAAGTTAAAATATGTTAACTTGAAATTTAAAAGGGTTAATTTCAAGTCAAAATAGTTAATTTCAAGTTAAAAAGGGTTAATTTGAAATTAAAAAGGCCTAATTTGATGGTGAAGTAGGGTTCTTTTGAATTAAAAAAAAGGTTAATTTGAAATTAAAAAAAGTTAATTTGAAAGTAAAAAAGCCTTAAAAAGGGTTAATTTTATGTCAAAAAAGGTTAATTTGAAATTCTCAAAAAAACTTAATTTGAAATTAAAAAGGTTAATGTTAAAAAGGGTTAATTTGAAATTTAAAAAAGGTTAATGTTAAAAAGGGTTAATTTGAAATAAACAACATTAATTTTACGTTAAAAGGATTAATTTGATGCTAAAAAGGGTTAATTTGAAATGTAAAAAAGGTTATTTTGAAATTCACTAATTTTTGTGGTCCGCTTGATCAATTAATATCTTTCAATTAATTAAGGTTTTAGTTGAGATAAAATTATTTATTTTAAGTTAAGAAATTAAAAAGGCTAATTGATGTTAAAAAACGGTTGATTTGAAGTGAAATAGTGCTTGCTTGAAATTAAAAAGGCTTAATTTGATCTGAAAAAGAGTTCATCTGAAATTAATAAGGCTATTTTGACCATAAGCAGAGGTATGCGCTGGTCAAACCTCTGGAGTGATGGATGTTAAACAAAAAATTAATTGTAAAAATGTGTGGTGTTTAGTGACCATTAGCCAATGATTATTTGGAGTACTGAGATGCGGTCTGGTGTGACGTAGGTTTTAGAAAAACGTTATCTTTATCTTGCCAATGTTTCTATCTTTATTGAGATCATCTTCAGGGCCTTTTAATTCTTAATTTTCTAATTTCTTTTTTTAATCTAAAATTTTCTAGAATTGTATCAATTCATTTTTTCACATCCTACATGTATTAGTAAAATTTAAACAATGTTTAAAAACCCTAGGCCCTGAAGATGATGTCAATAAAGATCGAAACGTTCGCATGATAAAGAAAATGTTTTTCTAAAACCTACGTCACACCTAACCGCACCTCACTATCTCCAAATAATCATTAATTAAAACACTAGATTCAAACCAAAGACCCTGTCAGGCCTTTGGTGTCCCAAAATTAAAACCAATTTTAGCCACTAATCTCGCTTTTTTCCCAAGGCGATAGTTAACTATGTATCATAATATTCTGTTTTTGATGTTTTAAAATGTGCATTATCTTTAGATTAGAGCAGGTCGTGGAATTATTATAGATAATTTTTTCCCACAGAATTGCTTACGCTGCGTTTGTATGATTTATAGAACTGTTTCTGAATGTGATTCATTATCAGTTTATCACTTAAAAAATAAATAAATAAGATAAAACATTAGTTTTAAACTTTGGAATAATGAATGATACACGTTAAAACAAATTCCTGTTGTATGGGCCGAAATGACCAGATCTTACATCAGTAATTGGTTATCTTTGAATTGTATAATTTGTAACTTGGACTATTTGCTACAAAATAAAAGCCTCATGTTCAAGAATTTCGAACGATGTTATTGACAAATCTCATTCGATTGTGCTTTCAAACAAATGACAATGAAAAATAAACATTCTTTCTAATGATTTTATTTTTTGAAGCTTTAACTGGCAGTTTCAGTTGCCGATTCTTTCTTTTTTCTCATCCGACCGTTTAGTATTTCCAATTTGGACTAGTGAAAACTTTCAGAGAGGTGATTTGGTGAAATAGCTGTTGTCAATACAGTAAATTAATTTAAATAATTAAAAATTATCATACACTTGGTTCTTGGAATTTTTTTCAACAATTTGTTTCATGTAATTATTTGTCAGAAAATAATTAAGTGTTACATTGAAATACGAAAACTGACATTTTTGAAGGCTAAAAATTTTTTTACGCTTATAGATTGTTTGGAAGAATGAAGTTTTTTGCATTGTTGGGCTTTGGAAACTGCACTCAACCTTCCACCCTTCCATATTTATGTACAAAAGGTGACTTGAGAGGAGATACTAAGAGACTGAGATACAAGGAAATAAAGCCTAAGGAGTAGCCATGACAAAATTCTGGAGATAATTAAAATAAATGAAATGGCTATAATGGTAAAACCTGACAAAATTTGAAAAGAAGAAAAATTCAAATTTATCATACCCTTCCAAGTGGACATAGATAATAGGGAATATGGTACACAGATTGATCAAAGATGGAACAAGGAGTAGGTGTAGGGGTTAAAGGGCTGAACTATACACTAGCAAACACCTTAGACTAACCTCAACAATTTTCCAAACTGAGGTCCATGTAATACAACTGGGCACAGATTTATATATTCTCAGGCAGCTATAAAGGCGCTTAACGTGTATGGTTTCAACTCCAAATTTGTTTGGGAGTGCCTAAATTGCCTAGTGGCTTTAGGCAAACACAACAAGATTTCTATAAAGTGGATTCCGGGATAAAGGTATAGAAGGAAACCAACTGGCCAAAAAAAGGCCTTTTCACACATAGAACCTGACCCACAACTAGTGCAACGGAGTATATGCTTAAGTCGGAAAAATGGCTTGAGAAATAAAAACTCAATCACTGGACAAAAGCGCCAAGCGAGCTAAGAGATTTATAAATGTCTCAAAAAGGAAGGCAAAGAACCTCTTTCTCAGCTTTGATCATATCTCAGGCAGGATTTGCAAAAAATTATAGACATATTAGAATTATAAACTGGCCACTTTTAACCACCACCTAAAGATGGGAAAAGCAGAGACTTTGTCAGGAGGAACCAGAGACATCGACAACTCTTTGTGATGTGAAGCGTTAGCTGGGTTACATCTTCAGCTAGTTCGGTAAGGCAATTCTCACACTAAAAGAGGTGTGTGAAGTGGCAGCGAGGAAAGTAGTTAAATATTATAGAAAAAAGTGCAATTTCCAAGGTGTATCGTATAGGGGTTACACATTAGATCTAGATATATGTCACGGTGGAGGATTTTTAAAATTGTTTTTTTCTTTTTCAGCATTTGAAAATAAAGTTCATTATTTGGAGGAGCTTGGCGTTACATCGGTTCTATTTAACTCGCTCATGAAATCGTCTGAAGAAGGGCTTGATCATGTTGTCGACTTCAAACAACTCCATCCGGAGCTTGGCACACTCGACCAGCTTAAAAACCTCTTGACCATGTTGAAGGAAAAAGGTAGAATTTTGTCTAGTAATTTTTGTTTTATATGTTGTCTGTGGAGAAATTGTTACTCTGAGACAATTGAAATTATTATCATCCCTAACAAAAAAGTGATTTTAAAAAATGAAAAATAGAAAAAAAATGAAGTGTGTCAATAGAGAAAATATCGAGTATTTTTTTTTAAATTGTAAATTTCAATATTTCTTTAATTAATAGACAAAAGATAAGTCTAAATCTTTAATAAATATGACATGTTTTTTCTGATATCTTTATCTGCTACATAAAATACATAAATAATTGTTTTTCGAAGATTGCGAATAGATTATGTTTAATTTGTTTCATTTCCAGGTATGCACACATTTTTGAAAGTAGTGCCTAATTTTTCGAGTATTCATCATGAATGGTTCAACAAGTCCGTGTCCAATATTCCACCATTTAATGATTATTACGTGTGGAAAGAAGGGAAGACTTCTGATGATCCACCAAACAACTGGGTAAGCATTTATTCAAAGATACATTACTATTTATCAAAACAGTTGAGTGAGCTACCAAATTAGATCTGTAGACTCCTCTGCCCGGCCAAAAATTATTTAAACCTTTATATTGGGTAGGTTGGCAAAACCACTGAGCTGTAATGACCGACACGTTAAAAGATAGGTCTGTGGGTCAAACTGGGCCATGTGCAAATGCTAGTGATGTCCTGATTACTAATTGGCCACACAAGGTTAATGCATGGGCATCTTTTAATTTAAAAAAAGGGCATGGAGAAGCCCACTGTAAAACAGTAGTATCAAAGATATTCTAAAACCCAGTTGATGGAAGTAAAAATTTGATAAGGATCTGAAGTGATTAAAGGCTTATGGGTCATATTTGATGGCTTTCCACACACGGTTTTCCCATATAGAACGAATGTATTTGTTAGCATAATTGGTGGAGTGAATGGGCTGGGTGGGTTTGTGATGGAATATGAAGTACCCCACAGACCCACCAAACTAAGTTATTTTATTGTACTGGATGGTTGTATTTATTAGCATGAGTGAATGAGTGTGTGGTAGAGTATAAAGTACCCCACAGACGTACCAAATTAGGTTAGTTTTTTAAGGTTAATTGTGTTCAGAGCAAAAGGGAGAGGGACTGGCGGAATATCAAATACCCCAATGCCTTTCTAAATTTTATCTGTACATTTGTATAAATGTGTTTATTATCTTGTATGTGGGGGTGAGTCTGTGACAGAATAGGCAATAACCCATGGACCAACCAACCTAGGTTAGTTTTTTATATAAATTTTTAGAGCGTTTTGGACAAGACATCGGTGTAAAACCCCGGTGCCTCTAAAATTTATAATTTAATATGAAAGTTTCTAGTCGGTTTGAATGTATTCATTAGCATCCTCAATGGAATATTCAGTACCCTGAGGCCTGCCGAACTTAAGTTCGCCCACAATGTATGTACAATATGAGTGCACATGGGTTGCATAGTGTTTTCACCACATGTGGAAGGGCCAATTAAAAATGATAAAGTCCCAGAAGGTCCTCAAAAATGTAAGATCGCCAGGACCTCCCTCATACTGGAGAGCCAAATTTTATCAATGAAAAAATGTGAGGTAGAGAAAACGCTAGGTGCCGGCAATAGCCTAGCAACTAGTAGGCCATAAAAAAATGCATTTGTAATGCGAATAAGTTAAAAAGAACATTTCATGTGTTTTAAATGATATTTTTTTTAGTTGAGTGTAACTGGCGGCAAGGCATGGACGTGGAACAATGAAAGACAATTATTTTATTTACACCAGTTCAAGGAGACACAACCAGATTTGAATTTCCGTAACAAAGATGTTGTTAATTATTTCAAGGTATTCGTTTGTTTGTTTTTATGCTGTACTCCTAAGGTCTTAAGATTTTTTTCTTTAGGATGTTTTCAAGAATTGGTTGGATGTTGGATTTGATGGAATTCATGTTGACAAAGTCGAATATCTGTTTGAAGATGAACAATTAGAAGATGAATATATAGATCATACTGTACAGAATAAAATACATGATGATTATTTATTTTGGACACACTTAAAGACGACATATCTTGATGAAAGTATCGAATGTCTTAAAGAGTGGAGTGAAACTATTAGAAACGCTTCCGGGTACATTTTTTATGTGTGTACACATCGCACAGTGATTTACATTAATTTTGTCAATTTTTTTATATTTTAGATTAGTATCTGCAACTGGTGTAATGGAGAATAATGACGCAAATGTTGATCTTGCTTATTTACCATTCACTGGTTCATCAGAGCCTGTAGAAATAATTCAGCATTTGCAAAATTACATCAACCACAACCTTGAAAGACAAAATAAGACTTGGTTGGTAAGTCGATTTAATTTTAGTTCATTAATGTGAAGTTGGTAACATTGGTTTCAATATTTTGCAATAAAATATTGGTGGTACAAATAAGTTTCAAAAGATTTGTTTTTGTTTTTTGCAAAAATGGTAACAATTTACATTATTCAAAGCATTGTCCATCGCTAGTCACCTACTTTTTCCATCATTTTACAGCATCATTCAAATTCCACTTTGAGGTAACAACTGGTCTTTAGAATGAAAGAATCATTCATCATGAACTCTGCTCAAACAGGCTTTGTGTCATTGGTCGAAACAAGTGATAGTCGGTTTGGAGAATACGGTGGGTGGGATAGGGTAATTTGAATGTTGCAAAGTAGTCTTTGACTGGCACAGTAACATGTCTTTGAGCAGTGTCATGTTGCAAAATCAATCGTGTCAACAACCAACCGACTAAATAACGACAGCCAAATGAAATAACTAACCTTTCATCTGTGAAATACTGACGGATTGTCCTTGATCAAACCCTACACTGGAAACTCGTATGCCCCAAATCTCCCATCACTGCTTTTTCACCCTCCGCTAATCCCGTCATGCAAGCCTCTTCCCAACCTACACCCATAACCTCCTGGTCTCTTCTCTTGCGATTCTGAATTATTTCGATTATGGGGGTTGGTCTATGGTGGACTCACCGGCGAGCTTGTTAACAAACTCAAGAGAATCGTGAACTGCTTTCTTCTGTTCATATTTAGGATTGAAATGGCTGTACCCCTTCCTATCGGAGGCTATACTTTCTTGGCTCCTTCTTCTATGAAACAATGTCTTCTCTTTCCACTTCCTATATTTATAATCTGTTAACATTTAAGCTTTCTGTACACAGTCTCCACACTCGTTTCCTCCCTTCTAATCTCTACCCTATCATACAAATCCACTGCTTTAAGTCGGTTCAACCTCTGGAATTCCCTCTCCCACTACATGTATTTACTGTTCTTCGGTATTTTTACTTTTTCCCACTCTTATGTAATTTAGTATGTTTCATTTATTTCTATGCTATTACTTTTAAATCTTTATTTATGTTGGGTTGTCTGGAAAATAAGGTTTATGGTTATAAAATAAACATTTCTTATTAATTAAAATACCCTCCATCACTTTCAATACACTTCTCCCAACATGATGGCAACTTCTAAATAGAATTTTGAGTCTTTATTATGAACAAATTATGTAAAAGCATTTTCTATTGACTTTTGAACAATAAATTTTTTATGTTGTAAAACGTTGCCCAGGTGTCTGAAAAAATGGTAGTTTGTATATGAAAGTCTGGCCAATGAGGCAGAACCTCTTTACCAAGATATGACAGTTTTCGCGTAACAGAATTGGGCTTGTCGGATTGATCAAAGAGGGCTTCAATGATGCCAATTTCTGGTCCATTGCTTCAATTTGAGAGCAATACGTTTTGCTTAAATTAAATGTACCATAAATTTTTTATTAAATTGTTGCATTTGTTATGTGGATTTTTTTTTTAATGAGGGTTCGCAACAGCAGAGGTTATATCAACCTTATATTAACGGTGTTTTTGAAAAAAAAAAAAAAAATTTGTAAGTATGTCGGATTCGAATGCAGGGCCGCTGGATTTGAACCTGAGACCTTTACCTTACAGTGATGAGAGCGCCGTGTCAATGCCTAAACCGTTGTGGCCACCAACGGCCCCTCTCTCCTCATGTTGTTTATTCGTTTTGTCTCTTCTGACACTTTGTGACTTTAAGGACCAACCAGCCCATGCCAAGGCTTCTGTTGGCCAGCACAATCCCCAGTTTTCCCACTGTTGAGTCCATCACCTCCAGAATATCATTCATCTTACTCCTTTAGCATTCTACTTTCCCTAGCATCTCAGCTTCTTCTCCAGTTTATCCTGTCTTCTCATTATGTGGCCAAAGTACTTCAATTTTCTATGTACTTTAATTTCTTCAAGTGAGAATTCTGGCTTCATTTCTTGGTTTGATCTTTTTACTGTATAAGGCACTATCAGAGTTTTGCCTCCAACACCACAGTTCAGAAGCATCTATCTTCCTTCGCTCAGCCTTTCTTATGGTCCAGCTGGGAATACTATTACTTCAACTATCCGGACCTTCGTTGTCAGTGTATTGTCTGTGCTCTTAACTATTCTATCAAGATTTGCCATCACTGTACTCCGAAGAAATCATCTGATTTCCTGGATCTGCCACGTGTGCAGTAATCTTCGCACCTAAAAATACAGTGTATCACTGCCTCCATTTTTCTCCCTCTATTTGCCAGTTATTAATGCCTTCATCTTTGTTTTTTGAGGTCTAACTACAACCCAGCTTTGGTGCTTTATTCTTTCACTGTTGTCATAAAGCCCCTCAACTACTCGCTTTCAGCCATCAGGTATAATATGCATATCGAAGAGTGTTAATGTTTCTTCCAGCTGTTTTAACTCCACCCTTGGATTCCTCAAGCCCAGCTCGTTGTGCGATGTGTTCTGCATACAGGTTGAATAGATTGAACAGAATACAATTTATTTTCTTCTTAATATTTTTTGATCTAATATCACCAAAAAGAGTTTCAATGAAATTGTTGATCCTATGTAGCCTCCTCCTTGTAAGTTAATAATAACAGAAAAAAATCAATTTGTCATTTGTTAATCTATGGGTGTTGGTTCTTTAAAGGCAATTTGAAGTATCTAAATTGGATAAAAACTGTAACCTCTTTCAGTGGGAAATCGATGGATTGGGTGAAGAAGAAGCGTTTGCTATGGATGCATTAATGTTGCTTCTTCCTGGGTCGACGATGCTCAATAACGGAAGGGAGTTAAATCTAAAAAATCTCACATCCCTCTCTGTTAATGAAGAAGGTAAATATCAACAGTATATTATTATTGACTCAATTGTATTATTAATTTTATATGCTTTTAGCCTCTTCGGCTGAACATAATGAAACAGTTATGAAAGTGGATTTATTAGAATATTATAAAGAGATGATAAACGTTAAGAAGTCGTTAACACCGACAGAGTATAAAACAAAACTTGGATATACGGAGAACCTTCTTCTTTTAGCAAGGTAAAAAAAGGGCTTTTCAACAAAAGAAAGATTTAATAAGTTAAACATAGTTAATGATTATTGATATATTGGCTTGTAAAATAAGTCAGTAGCGTTTTTCAATAATTCAATTTTATCCCTGTTGTGTTTTGAATAAAAAAATAGGCCCAAATATAAGGGCGGAGAGGAAGAATAGTGATAAACCTGCCTTTTTTCCACAATCAGAGCTCCTGAAGGATCAGAGGGCACTGATATCAAGAGTCAAGAAACCAACCCACGTCCAATCCTGCTGCACCTGGTCCCAACAAAGTTGAGGCTTTTCTCTCTCTTCCCCCTGCTCTTCATAATTTCTCTTTTATGCATATAGCTAGTATTTTAGGTAATAAGAATTGATTTGGCTTGTACCAAGATTCCTTAGACTCACATATTGCTTCCTGGCTCCTGGAAAGAATACCACAACAGAAATTTTGATTTAGAATATGCAGAGTGCTCTGATCATCCCTCAACCATCAATAATGACCATATTCAAACTTTTGTTAAAAATAACCCACATCACAGAGACACCCATAACACATAAGAGTGTTTCTAAAAAGATCGATAACTGGGGGATGAAAAGTGGCTCCTTTATGAAAATTCAGAGAGGAAAAGCCTGGGGAAAACAGCACCACAGTTAACAACTCCAAAAGCTGCATTTAGACAAAGAAGAAAAGCGCATTGTTATAAGCTTCTTCCGCCCAACCAAACCCAGTGTGTACTGCGTACAATTGAAGTGATTAACTAAAACTGACCAGCATCGGCTAATAGCTAGGGGATTTTTTTTACACCTAGATAACCCTAGTCCCCATGGTTGTTGGAACTTGGCTGGGATCCACCCACTGTATTCACCTGACATTGCCCCTTCAGATTTTCTCTTATTCCTGGTTCTGCAAAACCATAATAGGAAAACTTTTACTTGAGGACTGAAGAAAACACATCGAGGAGTTTAATAACTCAAAAACCCATGTTCTGGGAAAACGGAAATCCAAAATTACACTTACAATGCAGTAGGTAGAGGAACAAAATGGTTAGTATATTTTTTTGTTAAGTTTGTTTTTCACATACCTGAAATTTCAATTGAATTTACCTAATTGGAAAAAAAAAAAAAAAACGCTACAGAATTATTTTACTACTCAATAAGTATTATTTTATAATGATGTTTTTTAATAAACATCTGTACAATGTTAAGTATAATTGTTTCCATCCAAATATGAGCTGTTCTTTTTTGAAAGTGGTGTCAGTCCATTTTTAGTAAAATGAGTTAATGGTAAGTTTAGTAAGATATGGACACCTCTCCATATTTATAATCATACATTCACTGGAGGACGATTTTTTTTAGATAAAGTAAACAAAAAAAAAACTTTAGCTAGAAAATGTAATAGCAAAAAAAATATATATATATATATTAAAGTGGAATAAGTCCATTACTAGTAATTATAAAATCCAGTAGTCCATTACTAATCATCATAATTAAAACAACTTCTTTATTGCAAATATTATTGATTATTATGGCTTCAGTGCGCATTGCGCTTTAGAAAATATTACTTAGATAGTTCTAGTTTCCTAAAAACATTGTTAACAAGATAACGGTATTATTGTTCTGTTGAAGTGGTGAGAAGTAATTTCAAGTGATTTTGTTCATTTTTATTTCACAAGCCTTACTATTCGGTTTGCATCTCTTATACTAATAGATTGTAGCGTTTTATTTAAATATAATTGTTATTAACCAAGAAAATCATAGTTCAAGATAAATAATATTTCATACAGTTATAATGAGTTCTCATACCTATAAAATAGATGATATATGTCCATTTCGTCTGATAGTGATGTTGGTAAATAAGGGTAATAAAATTTTTCGTGGAAATATTTGAGTTCCTTTTTATTATAGAAATAAGACCCATGAATATTTAAAAAAAAAAAAAAAAAAAAAAAAAAAAAAAAAAAGAAGCTTGAGTAATTTTAATTTCACAATAAACTTTAAAAGGTGTATAGTGTTAAAAATATCTCTCAAATTGATTAATGTTTGCTAATATTTTCTATATTACTACCAATGCAAACCCTTAAATATCTCGATACATGAAAAAAATGGATTTATACTATTTTCAAATATAACAGCTCATATAGTATGTGTAGTGATTAGTGACCGTTAATCGATAGTTATTCAGATATCGTGAGATGCGGTCGGGTGTGATGTAGGTTTCAGAAAAACATTTTCTTTATCGTGCCAACGTTTTGATCTTTTATTGAGATCATCTTCAGGGCCTGGGATTTACAAACAATGTTTACATTTAACAAATACATTTAGGGTGTGGAAAAGAGACTTTATACAATGCAAAATATATTTTATATTCAAACAAAGTATTTCTACTCACTCAAAGTGTTTGTCTTCTGTGTAATTGTGCCATCCTTGCATGTTGTAGTTGTAGTTGTTGATTATTCTGTTAATTATGTGCTTAGGGTAGAGATTGTTATGGAGGATCTGTTTGTATATCTTTATGTTCTTGTGGTGAAATGATTCATGGCTCAGGGTAATCATTCTGTGAAGTAACCCTTTGGCTGTGTTTATTATTGTATGAAGAGGATGGTGAGATTTAAAGTTGAGGTAACGATCTGTGTTTCTTGGTTTTTGGTACCGATCTGTGATTAATGTTCCATCTGGTTGTTTTATTACAAGTGTATCTAAAAATGGTAGTTTTGTTGTTTTCGATTTCATGTGTGAATTGTAGGCATGGGTGAAAGCTATTAAATGTATCTAATGTAGTTTGAATTTGATCTGTGGGAACTGCTGTCAATATATCATCTACGTATTTAGTGAGGAAGGGTAATGTGAAAGGAAGTTGTGGTATGACTGTATTTAGTAGATGTGTCATGATTATGTCTACCAGTATCGGGCCTAGGTTGCTACCCGTGGCTATACCAAACAGTTGTGTGTAAAAATAGCTTTCAACAATTATAAAACAATCCAAACACTTTTTTCCAAAGTTAAAGATCCCACACCAATAACAAATAAATCGGACGTAATCTACAAGATCAACTGTTTAAACTGTCCGGCAACTTACATCGGTCTTACATCCCAATATCTGGACAAGAGAGTAAAGCAACATATCTATGATTGCAAAATCCTACAGCACTCGCTACTCACCATCTTGAACACCAACACAATTTCAACTTCAAAAATCCAGAAGTATTACACACAGAACAAAACAAACATAAACATAATTTTTTAGAAATGGTTTATATCAACAAAGATAAACACAGCATCAATTATAGAACAGATACATGTAAACTCAGTCGCAGCTACGCCAATATCATTAATCAAATACAATATAGATAACATACATATATAATTACATTACATTCTACACATCAAATACTTTTCACATAGTCTAATTTTCCAACAATTTAGCTTTCCTTTTCCTATTTATTCCCTTTCTATATAATCCTGAAAGGATAATGGCTGAACTATTACCAACACATTGTTCCCCTTTGTCGGCTCTTTTCACCTCAAAGAAGCCGACGCCTTATACAAAAATGTCTTTTCTATACCGACATCCTTCCCCACCCCTTCAAAATCCAACGTATATAAACACAAAATAGCAAAATCTCACTGCACTCTCGACAAGACACGCAAGAATGGCACAATTACACAGAAGACAAACACTTTGAGTGAGTAGAAATACTTTGTTTGAATATAAAATATATTTTGCATTGTATAAATTCACTTATCCACATCCTAAATGTATTTGTTAAATGTAAACATTGTTTGTAAATCCCAGGCCCTGAAGATGATCTCAATAAAAGATCGAAACGTTGGCACGATAAAGAAAATGTTTTTCTGAAACCTACATCACACCCAACCGCATCTCATGATATCTGAATAACTAGCTCATATAGTGTTTATTTAGTTGAGATCTGACTTGCAATCTTCTCGGTCAAATAAATCAGATAATTATAATTAAATAAAATTATGTATCAGTAAAGTTCAGTAATGCCTTATCAAATATTTCTTGTAATTTATTACTGATGATTGATGCCATAATTGAACAGAATGCCAACAGAAAAAAACATGTTTGATTTTCCCTCCTGAATATCTTTAATTTTTTTTTCTAGGTTGAATGAAAAATCAGAGGGTTATGTTTTCCTGTCTGATATCGGCGAAGGTGAGGGTGTCACCCTGTCTGCCAACTACCCAAATGTGAACAATTTTGTTCCCATCTTATATTCCACGTACTTCAAGTAAATTCAAAATTTCAGTTCATCGGCATGCAACGTATGAGTTTAAATGTATTTTTTTAAACTTTTCAGGAGGAATAACCCAGATTTATTTGCTGACAAGAAGAACGGTAGTGTAACCCATGTTTCAATGTCGCCTTACTCATACGTACTTTTTAAATGCAATTAAACAAAGCGTAGATAATAATGTGGTGAATTCCACAAATGACAGATTGGATCTCCTCGATTATCCTTTTCTTGGCTTTTGACTTTTCCTTGATTTGACCTTTTTTATTATTTAAATCGCTTGTTTCCTTTGTTTATAAGCATTTTTATATTTTTGCAACACTTACAACTTGTACTAGTATTTACTACCCTTTGTGACAATAATAAAAAAGTTGTTACTGCATTAAAAAAGTCTGTTAAAATTTATCCACATCCATAATAATATATTTAAAAACAGATTACAAAAATTTTTAAATTCGTTTAGGTAAATAATTGATTTATTATTTTAACCAATTATGGATCATATGAACTATAAATTACACTGTTGGATAGGGTTGTGAGGATACAGGGAAGTGGGACTTTTTGGTGTTCCCTAAGCTCTGCAGCTTCTGGCTTATTGTAGTTTTCCTTGTTTCTTAGTTCAAGTTCAATTAACTTCTTTTATATTATGCTTTTCCCTCAGTCTTCTTTGTCATCTAGGTTATGTTTACATTGAGCGGTCACTTCATGAAGATAATATGGATGAATAATATGTGGAGTTTCTTCAGATGCTTTCTTTAACATTTCCGTGACCACCCAGCCTGATTTATTTTACATTGTGCAGCAAATTTCAAAACGCTTTGAATTGCTCTTACACCTTTTATGTTGCACTGATTCCGTTCAAAAATTGACAGTACATTCCTCGGATATTATACTTTACAATGGGCTTAAGTAGAAGAAGAAAGAAAAAAAGAGCTTCAGAAAACAAATTTGTGTATAATTTAAAATTTATTTGACTACAAAAGTCTTCATTATGTATTTTGAAACATAAAGAAAAAACAAATTTGATTACTGATTTATTTAGCTTTAGTCTGCACACAAATATGATGCATACGTACATAAATTTGCTGGTAACAGATGATGTGAGAGAGAGTGAATTCGAAATACTATGGCAGCTCGTGGTAAATTAAGTAACGATATGAAACAATCAGTTTTGCAGGCGATTTGTGATATAAAGTAGTGTAGTATGAATTAAACCAGGAAATGGTTGAAAAGAAGAAAAAAAATGGAAAAAAGGTTAACGGAATTGTGCACAGATTGTCTTTGGTAAATATAGTCTGCAGAAAATGGCAAGTACATTTAAAACTGTTATTTGGCCCCATAAAGCAATATCTGGAGAAGAAACGAAGAGAATAGTTAAAGAAAACAGATCCGGTGAAACTTAATAGTTGTTATTGTGTTAAAAAGTTAAAGAATCTTCAAGATGGACAGTTACTACTGCTATTTCTGTTAATTTAAAATGTGATAATTCACATTTTTACCTTCTCTCTCACCTCATCCTGTTTCCTTCAGCCAAGAAGGAATCCTTAATAATTGTTTTATCCAAGAGACTTAAACCTAACTAAACTAACTCTTCCAAAGTTCTTTACTACTACTTTCTAAAGCATTTGAGATTTACGTTAAATAAATAACCTTATATATTGACTTGTATGCCTTTACATTCCCTTTTCAATTGGGTTCTGAAAATTTCATAGTTGTGAGACAGCCCTTCTCAAAATCTCAGTTGGTATTCGCCTAGGCATTGATGATAAGCGTACTATTATTCTTCTACTTGGTTTTTCCAATTGTTCTGTAAATCATAATTTGCTTAATTTGAAATTGACTCATGTTTTTGGTTTTTCTTCTACTGCTAATAATATCATATATCTGTCTGACAGAACTCTTTTCTCTCAATTTCAGCGGTGTATTCCAAGGCTCTATTCTTAGACATTTAATCTTTTCCTTGTTTATAAATGAACTTCCATTAGTTCTTAATTTCTCCCAATTTCCTATTTATGCTGATGACATTCAATGTACGTCCTACAAGCAATGAAGTTATCTCTGTTCAACCAAGATCTTCATTCTCAACCAATGGTCAAGTAATAACAGCATTCTTTTAAATACTAACAAATCACAGTTCTTATTAATTTCCAATAAACCTATTAATACCGATATCCCTCCTCAAATCAATGGCTCCCCTATTAATATTTGTCTTAAAGTTAAAAATTTTGGCGTTATCTTTAATTCCAAGCTTACATGGCATGACCATGTGTGCTCTATTGTTTAAAAAGTCTACTCAAGCCTGCATTCTCTTTGACACCTTAACTGTTTCACTCCACAGAAAACTATGAGTTCTCTTTATTAAATCCCTAAAAATACCTTATTCTTCTTATTGAAGTGCTATTTTTTCACTTTCTTTTGATTCTCAATCTGCTCATTGCCTTCATTTGCTTATTATTCATTTATTAGATACTGTTATGACACCAAGAGATTTCTGGAAGTTTGGTGGAATAATACTCCAATCATGAGACATGTGAAGAAATTCATAAAAGGGTCATTTGCAAAACTTACAAGAGAATTACTGTAAGGTAACCACAACAGAACCAGGATTCTGGCGACTCCTGACAGGGCACTGTCATCTAAGAAGGCACATGCACCAGAGAGGAGTTCAGACAGAAGAAACACTGTGCAGATACTGGCAGGAAAAGGAGAAGACTGCCGAACGCATTTTATGTTTTTGTGAAGGTCTTTGTAAGTGCAGATTTTTGCAACAAGGAGAGGAAAAACCACAAGCAAGATCCTAACTAAAGAGCCGCTGGCAAGGCTATGGATGTGATTAACACCCCGAAGCTGGCCAGTGAATTGTAAAAAAAAAGAGAAAAAACCAGGAGCACAATAGATCCACTCTTGTTGAGGTGCAGAAGGCCTTGTGGTCACCTCTTTTATCCCTATACCCTATCCTAGTACGTTTCAAGTTTAACAAAGCTACAGGAAAAGCATGCAATAAATCAATTCCAAAAAAATAATAATAGAGTGGGAGCTGATAAATAGTATGTTGGCGGAATAAAGAACTTACAGATAAAAGAAAAGAAGTGAATTACCAGAATGCGAGGAAGTAGCAGGATGATGATGACATTAAGAATGAATTGATGAAAAGAAATAATATGGTGAGATGATAATGAAAGCTTAAATAGAATGTTGGAAAAAATTATTGCAATTCTGTAGATGGTCAAAATCCCTGGAACTTGGTGTACAAACCATCTACAGGTAAGTTAAAAACAATTTAGTTGTATCCACAGTTAAGAAACTGGATGTAAGTTATACATGTGAGTTTAAAGATACCATTGAAACAGTTATGAATAAATTCTTCTATTGAAGAAAATGCTTATCATAAAAAATAAGAGAAAAGAAATTTTACAGGAGATGAACAGGTTGAAGGCTGTTCACTTTGGATGAAGTAAGAAGAGCAATTATTTGCAATTATTATTAAGCAAGCGAGATTAGAAGATCATTGAGATCAAAAGAGCAAGATCATCATCAGNTCTTTTCTCTCAATTTCAGCGGTGTATTCCAAGGCTCTATTCTTAGACATTTAATCTTTTCCTTGTTTATAAATGAACTTCCATTAGTTCTTAATTTCTCCCAATTTCCTATTTATGCTGATGACATTCAATGTACGTCCTACAAGCAATGAAGTTATCTCTGTTCAACCAAGATCTTCATTCTCAACCAATGGTCAAGTAATAATAGCATTCTTTTAAATACTAACAAATCACAGTTCTTATTAATTTCCAATAAACCTATTAATACCGATATCCCTCCTCAAATCAATGGCTCCCCTATTAATATTTGTCTTAAAGTTAAAAATTTTGGCGTTATCTTTAATTCCAAGCTTACATGGCATGACCATGTGTGCTCTATTGTTTAAAAAGTCTACTCAAGCCTGCATTCTCTTTGACACCTTAACTGTTTCACTCCACAGAAAACTATGAGTTCTCTTTATTAAATCCCTAAAAATACCTTATTCTTCTTATTGAAGTGCTATTTTTTCACTTTCTTTTGATTCTCAATCTGCTCATTGCCTTCATTTGCTTATTATTCATTTATTAGATACTGTTATGACACCAAGAGATTTCTGGAAGTTTGGTGGAATAATACTCCAATCATGAGACATGTGAAGAAATTCATAAAAGGGTCATTTGCAAAACTTACAAGAGAATTACTGTAAGGTAACCACAACAGAACCAGGATTCTGGCGACTCCTGACAGGGCACTGTCATCTAAGAAGGCACATGCACCAGAGAGGAGTTCAGACAGAAGAAACACTGTGCAGATACTGGCAGGAAAAGGAGAAGACTGCCGAACGCATTTTATGTTTTTGTGAAGGTCTTTGTAAGTGCAGATTTTTGCAACAAGGAGAGGAAAAACCACAAGCAAGATCCTAACTAAAGAGCCGCTGGCAAGGCTATGGATGTGATTAACACCCCGAAGCTGGCCAGTGAATTGTAAAAAAAAAGAGAAAAAACCAGGAGCACAATAGATCCACTCTTGTTGAGGTGCAGAAGGCCTTGTGGTCACCTCTTTTATCCCTATACCCTATCCTAGTACGTTTCAAGTTTAACAAAGCTACAGGAAAAGCATGCAATAAATCAATTCCAAAAAAATAATAATAGAGTGGGAGCTGATAAATAGTATGTTGGCGGAATAAAGAACTTACAGATAAAAGAAAAGAAGTGAATTACCAGAATGCGAGGAAGTAGCAGGATGATGATGACATTAAGAATGAATTGATGAAAAGAAATAATATGGTGAGATGATAATGAAAGCTTAAATAGAATGTTGGAAAAAATTATTGCAATTCTGTAGATGGTCAAAATCCCTGGAACTTGGTGTACAAACCATCTACAGGTAAGTTAAAAACAATTTAGTTGTATCCACAGTTAAGAAACTGGATGTAAGTTATACATGTGAGTTTAAAGATACCATTGAAACAGTTATGGATAAATTCTTCTATTGAAGAAAATGCTTATCATAAAAAAATAAGAGAAAAGAAGTTTTACAGGAGATGATAGCTGTTCACTTTGGATGAAGTAAGAAGAGCAATTATTATTAAGCAAGTGTGATCACAAGATCATTGAGATCAAAAGAGCAAGATCATTGTACTCACAGTAAGTACAAATACATTGATTTTTCTAAAATTTCTATATTGTGTACATCATTTTATAAATTCATTTTCACATCTTATTTATATTTGTATAATTTAAACAATGTTTATAAATCTCAGACCCTTAAATGTTGGCACGATAAAGAAAATGTTTTTCTAAATGTACTTCTAAGCCAATACTGCACTCAGAGGACATGTGTGTTTTGTTACTGCTGGCTCTCGGTTATCAAGTTAAGGCGAGGAGGCCTCGGGGCCATCATTGTTTGAGGTGAAGTAATGGAGAGGGCTTGTGCGGTGGTTTAGGATGGTTTGAAATATTAGTTGAAACTTGAAAAAACAGGAATGGATCACTTATTTGACGAAGGGAATGTTAAGGTGATTGTGGATAGTTGAAGACAAAGTAATGAGATTCTTCTGAGGATTGTTGATTAGAATGCTTCGATTCATTGTATGTTACCCTTGGTGATGCCTCAAAATTCCATTCTGTATGTACAAATAGGTTGAAGTAATGTTTTGTACACATTTAGCATTTCGTTCCTACAAGTCTTCATAGCTGTACAAAACGTCCTTTAGTATTGAACAACTAGATTGAGGAGGATATGTAAAACTTGAAGCAACACATTAGTTGTAGAGGCCAGTCTGTAAGCTGCACCGACTTGGTTTAAACTCATTTTAGTACTCAACCGAGTTCAACGTCAAAATTGACGTTTTTTCATTTTATCTTGAACCGAGCTCAAATGATGAACCTGGTTGACTTTGGCCGTCGAGAGTGGGTTAAACCTAGTTCTGAGTTAAGCGACGTTTATTTCATATCATAACGAGTTGAAATAACTTAGTTACAAACTGAACTTTTGATCAACAAAAGTTGAATGCGAATTTGAACCATTGTTCTCACGTTTTAATAAAAATTGATACTTTTTTGACATGCAAATTATTGAGGGCTTGTTGCACCGAGGTCAACTTCAAAATTGCCGTTTTTTCATTTTACGTTGAACCTGGGCTCAACTTTGAAAGGTCGTCGAGTGTGGGTAGTTCAGATTTAAGCGACATTTATTCGATACTATGTGTACCCCGTGTAAGATTGAACTTTTGATACACGTTTCAATCAAAATTGTTCAACTTTTCACGTACAAATTATTGAGGGCCTGTTGCACCAACTTGGTTTAAACTCAGTTCAAGCGTATAGCTTCTGGTATTATTTTAGCAGTTAAACGTATATCTAAACAAAATTATACTTTTGTTACTGGAATCTTTATGACAGGTACAGAACAGCCGTTATTATGATTATGACCATATGCTGTTTGGTTCGAGGTCAGACAACCAGGACTTTCGCACTTTTGGAAAATATATGTGTAAAATAATGTATACATTTGTAATATGCGCAAATTCGACTATTTTTAGAGACGTTCTGGATAGTTCGTTGAGAAATTTTTTAATGCCGTTTCAGCCCCAGGCTGACCTCGACGAAAGTGTTGCGAGTCCTACGGAGAAGGTTGGGCCAGGGGCCTCTTGGTTCAAGGAATACGCGCATGTAATCGGTAGTTATAGTGGTGCAGATGTTGGAGGGAGAAAATCCTCCAGGGCTCCAGCCCCACTACTGGAAAGGACGCCTGAAGAAGTGGGGCGTCTTCCTTTTGCATTCGGCAATCCCGTTACGTGCTCCGACCCGTCCGAGACATAGCCGGATAGTCAGTGTTCAGCTATCTTTCGATCCGTCTTCTTCGCAACCAGTTTCTCAGCCCGTCTGACACCACGCCAGGCAAAACAGGTGAGTCGTCTGAAAAAAAAATCTCAAAGCGAACAATTTTAATTTAAGAGATTGCTCGTGGAAGTTGTTTTGCAAATAATGCAAGTGCAAGTAAAAACGGCAGAATTTTTGATTTTTTCTGACTCTGGACTGACATGCCATCCCAGTCACACCAACCACCCTGAATCGTCTTTAAATTTTAATCCGTCTTCACTGGAGGACTGATTTGACTCAAAGAAAGAGGACCTTTAAATGTTTATTTTTAATAAAATAAAAAAATAAAATCATTTTTGTCAAATCTACACCAAAATGTTCAAAATATTGCGCGTTTTCAAAATTTCTTCTCAGTTGGATTATATTTTTTGATGATCGAGACAGTTGCTTTTATACTAGGATAATCTATACACGCTGAGTCCTTGTGAGCAATGATTTTTGGCGATAGAGAACCACAGGATTTTTTTACCAGCATTAAAGTCGTACAAAATTGGGTGAATATGCTTCTAATGAAATTTATCTGGACAGTAAGGTCATTTATGAAGCAAATCATAAGCCCAGGATTTTTTTTTTAAATTGTACATTGACTTATTTTAAAATCAGCATGTACCAGTTTTAACGGAAGAAGAAGAAAGATTCCTCGTACTAATTGGTGCAGGTTACACAAAAGAAAATAATCTTAAAAACATAAATAAGACGAGCATTGGCGAAAGCCGAGCATTAAAATGACACAGTTTGATGAAATTAAATAGGACGTTAAGCCGATCGTTATGCAACATTAACAAATCCTCCGGTCTAGATAGGAACGCGTTCCAAATCTAAAAAGAAGTGATAATCCTAAAAAAAATCCATCTGTTAATCTTGTTCTGATTAATCCAGCCTTTGGCGAAATATATTTGTAAACATTTTTAATCGCGGGATTTTCCTTGTTATGCTGGAAGAAGGAGATGATATCAGATGGTATCAATTATGAGAGGGGAAAGATCCTTCCGGCATTCCACCTGCCAAGAAAAATAAATATGGCCGCTGTTAATGATATAAACGCGAGTTTTTTTGTTTTTTAAAAAATATATAAGCAGATAAGAGAAAAAAAAAGCACCGGCGAAGTCTTAACTCCACCATTCAAGTCCCTGATATTTCCCATAATTAATTAAAAGCAACAGAATTGAATGGGCCAAGTTCCGGCGAGAAGTTTTCCGACACTCGAGTAGATTTTTTAAAATAATTCTTTGGCAAGGTCTGGATAGACTGGGAAAACTGTTCCGGAGAAAAGTGGTCTTTTTTCCATTAAGAACAAACTAAGAAAAATCCTCCCCCCTCTTAATAAGAAGATGGTCTGAGTTTTGAAGACATGAACGTAGGGATGGATAAATGAGGCGGCCACAAGGCTATCTACCTCGACCTCAGTAGATCTATTGTACTCCTCTATTTTTATAACTCACTGGCCAGCTTCAGGCTGTTAATCAACCATCAACCTCCATAGCTTTACCAGGGCTCATTGGTGTAGGATTTTGCGGCTTTTCCTCTCCTAGTTGCAAGAATCCACATTTTCATAGACCCTCCCAAAAACGTAGCATGTCTTATGCCGTCTCCTGGCATTATCTGCACAATGTTTATTCTCTCAGTACTCCTATCCGGTGCCTTCTTAGACAGCAGTGTTCTGTCATTAATTCAACCAGAATCCTGGTTCTTTTGCGGAAGAGTAAAATTCTCATGTCCTGTGGATGGCCATTCTATGAATCTCTTCGTGTGCTTGAAGTTTTGTTCCACCAGGTTTTAGACCGATTAAGGATCACAATTTTTGGATGTATCAAGGTGCTAGGCAACAATAGGGTTCGGGACCTAGAGAATTTATATTGGCTCCTTTTTTGGCCATGTCCACTTTCTCCTTGTCACCATCTCCCGGGATGCCCAGGGACCCATGTCAGAGTCAGGTGTCACTGACTTCTGCCAGGGATTTCATAAAATCCTATTCCCTTTTTTTCCCTACGCCTTAAGTGCTGGCTGTCTGTAAGAGATAATGGCGAAAAACCGTACTGGAATATGTTTCTATTTTTTTATTTCTAAGGCGCAGTGTTCAATTGCTATGATTTCAGACTGTAAACCTGTAGCGTATTTACCCAAGTTTAAATAAAGTCAGTTCATTCTTTAGATTCATCCCCAAGACTCCTGCCCCCGTACCCTTGTCGGTTTTGGAGCAGTCAGTAGGAATTTGCCTTTAGCAGGGTTCCTATGGCCCATTCCTTCCGTTCTTATATCAAAACCTTGTACGTTTTAGTAAAGTTGCACTGTGGAGCATGTAAAATCGACGAAAATATTCGGATCATTCAATCCTTTTAGGACTTTTTGGCTTTCTTTGGCTCTAATTGAAACTTCAAGAATTTGAAGCAAGTTTGAAGAAATAAAACAAAATCCTTGATGTCAGAGTTATCAGAAAGGAGAAGCAGGACGTCCAACAACATCCAACTGATTTTGACTGGTGAATCTCGAGTGATAGGATATGAATGAAGGCAGGGGTATAAGCAGGGTGAGACGTCTACTTTCAATCTTGCTTTCTACTAGTTATAATTAATCTTTTAGCGAGAATTTTAAATTTGTTTGTGATAAAACTTTCACTTTCGGGCCGTAAACTCGCATATAATTTATACCAATGTTTTGAAAGTATCACGGAAAAGACAAAAAGTTGGATGTCAGATCTATAACTGTCTGTTACTTGAGTATAAGGACTCTCGGCCATTGCCCTGTGTCAGCTGAAACAAGCCCATACCGAACTTCGCTAAACAATGTCTTGTGGTAGCCAGTATTTTAGTAAAGGAATTTTGTAAAATAATCCAATTTTCATCAGTCGCTTACACAAAATCGTGCGTATTTTGGATTGTAGAACGAAGCCGTGCAGACGTCGACATATAGAGTCTATTCTTTGGCTATCTTCGTCTAATATTTGGAATATCGAGTTGATGTTTGAACAAATCACTTTGATATCGAACCACTCGAGCTATGGAGAATCATCATCAAAGGTCATCTTGAAGTCTAGTGCTCTCAGCATGCAACAACCTCTAAACCGAAAAGATGAAGTACCTTCTAGCCTACAAATGACCAGAAGCTTCAACTTCAACCTACGCAGTTTTTCATTCTTTCAAATGCTGAACCAGAAGGTTAACCCTTACAATCATGTATCCAATCCCGGGTGGGATATTAGAGACCATTTTTTCTTATAGTTTGGACAAAATGCAGACAGATGAGGGGTTGTTTAAGAATACCGCAGAGCACTAACCAGCTGCTATAGATTAATTAGTAAAGGTAGCTGGAACCATAAGGGAAACAACCTAGATCACTCGAAAATTCTACATTTACTGAGTAAGGTTAATAACCAACTACTAAGCGTTAGCGATAAAAAGGTTAAAACACCTTTAGGGAAAAAGCACTTTTAGGTAATTACTCCCTGTGATTATAACTATAGTGCGGATGAGGACCATCGTAGCCTAGACCGCTTCACCGATGGCTCACTCATTAAGGATAAGGGAAGCGGTACTGGAATACATATACCTAAATTAGGGACCAGTATCTCCTCCCCTCTTGGTAATAACACCTCGGTCATTCAGGCGGAGGTCTGGGCCATCAATGTTTGTTTCAGAACACTCATGGATAACAAGATTAAGGGAAAAGATATAAGAATGTTTTCAGACAGTCAGGCCAGTCTCAAGTCTTTACAAAAAGAGTTATCAACATCTAGGCTGGTGGAGGAAACCGTTGAACTTATTAACAGGATTACTACCAGGGACGAGAATAGGGTAACCCTCGTATGGGTACCAGCTCATAAGGGACACTATGGCAATGAAGAGGCGCGGACAGCCTAGCCAAAGAAGGCTCAAATACCGCGTTTGTCGGGCCACAACCGGTATTACCCCACTCTATAAGCATTAATAGCTGGGGCATGAAACAATTCCTGAAAGAATGGAATCTGTCCCCCGGACATAGGCAATCGAAGGAGTTTCTGAAGGAAATCAAACCAAAAGAAGCGAAATGGTTATTCTCTAACTTAAGGAGGGGAATTAGGAGGCTGATAGGTATCCTAACGGGCCATTGCCCCTTGAGAAGACACCTCTTCATAATGGGTATCCTAGTAGACCCCTTTTGCCGCTTCTGTGAAATAAAAGAAGAAACGGCTCGACACTACCTCGCAGAATGTGATAGGTATGCCAGGGATAGATTTGAAACTTTTGAAGGAGAGGATATTGCCAAATCACTCCCCAAGATAAAATGGTCCAAAATCTTGGGGTTTGTAAACAGGTCCAAGAGGTTTATGCAGGACTCGTGACGGAGCCGACCAAGTCCCGGACCTTTTAGGGATGGGGTACGGGCGTACCTAGGCTTTTAACCCCTCGGGTCTTGGTGGTCGCCCACCCTGCATAATATATATATATAAAGAATACCGCAGCATCTCCGACAACCATTCGAAGGTAGTCATGTGGTCTGTTGTTATGAGCATCCAGTAACCTTTAAACCAAAAGCATGAAGTGCCTTCCGATAAAACATATTTTTCGCCTTCCTCTAAATCTTCAACTGCAGATTCAACTTCACAATCATACAGATGTACTAACGTCTGTACATTGAAAACCGTGTTTCCTTGTCGTTCGGACAAAATTCTCGTCTTTCTTTTCAACTGCAGGCTTTGCAGTTTTTTCTTCTTTCTGGTAGTGTGTGCATGTGTGTTGAAGGATGGTAACCATCTTGAATAATCGAACATCATCGACCAATAATCGAGGGTCATGTTGAAGTCTGCCGTTTTCAGTATTCAACTACCTCTAAACCAAAACGATGCCTTATGAGTCATGAATTATGACAAAACATATTTTTCCCCTTCCACTAAATTTCCGAAACAGCACCACAATTCGCACTTCATTCTTCGACCAGAAACTTACACTATAAGCTAACTTCTTCCTTTTTCGTACTAGAACCTTTGACACTTCACCGTAATGCAGATCCAATCTCGGACGGATATTAAGGACACCACTTTTGTTCGGTGT